TGTCATAGTATTAAGTTCAAATTAATCTATTTTTACAAATGGGGAATTCTACATTGTGAACAGATTGGGGCATTGGGCAATATTTTTCCCAACACTTTGCACAACGTTATGCCAATAGACAACCCAACCATTTATTGGGCAGTATTTTGCCCAATGGTATTCGTAAACGTAAGTAGGCCTACCCAACTTCACACGTGCATAATTGTTTCGAATTTTGCCAAACAGCTGGTCAAGACTGTCCCAACAAGTGGGCTCCCGTAGTGGGGCAGTTAAAGGGTCATATCTTTGCTCAAAATTTGGTCAAATAGTGCCCAACAAAAACGAATTGCCAACTTAAATATACCCATTTTTTCAGTGTGTAGCTCTTTTGAAAAAGTGGAATGAAAAGAAAAAGGCTTTTAAAAGAGAGAGAGCAGGAACTCTATCGGTATTATGCAAACAGGCATTTTTCTAAAAGGAAAGAACAAAAGTAGGAGGCAATAAACAAATCATTAAAAAGAGCGAGTTAACTAGGGTGGAGAACAGATATAGGCCTATCATTTAACAAAAGATCTGTTGAGTTTCGTGGCACGAATACACAAACATATTTTTGTCTATGCGATCAAAGAGCTATTACAGCAGTTACTCTGTTTCTTCACTGGTTTATATAATATTCCAATACGCGCTGGCTCAGTCCCCTCAAAACGTTCAACTCAATTTTACGCCACTGCAAGGGCCTGTTGAATTTTTCAGAAAAGGTGCTTTCCCGTCCATATAGTCCTGTATTAAATGATCCTTATCTTCTATTACTTAAAGACTTCCATTCTCAAAGCACGGCGCGCATGATGGGAAACTATTTGATAATGACGGTAACAATAATAGTGATAATAATAATGATTATAATAATAATAATAATAATAATAATAATAATAATAATAATAATAATAATGATAATAATAATGACGATAATAATAATAGTAACAATAATAAAAATGACAATAATAATAATGTGATTAATAATAATAATAACGATAATAATAATAAACATAAAGATAATGATAATAATAGGCCCTGATAGTTTACCAATAACGGCAATAATGTTAAAAATAGTAAGCCAATTATGTTATCTCTCCCTCGTCAAAAGTATGTGTGTTCAGGGAGTAGGGGCTATATATCACTTTGGCATTGACAATACGAAAAAATGTCAAATGGTAAAAAGGGAAAATAGAGGAAGAGAGAGCATGAAAAGGAGAGGGAGAAGACTAAGAGCCTAGTCTGTAAGTAAAAACCGTGTTACAGGCCTGAGATCAAATGTTGCTTAAATTTTCATGGAACACTTGAATGTTTATGGAACATATTTGTGTTTAAAATAACAATGATATTCTGCAAAGATAAAATAATAATTTCTACCGTGGTACATAAAGGCATTAACTTTCTTTACTACATAACAAAGACTGTTTTTTCCAAAAAGGTGCACCATGGTTTCACAATTTAAACAAACACGTCAACGGATTACTTGGATATCTTATCGTCATGACCTTTGTCAAACCATATATCAATGAAACATGTAAAATAATGATTAAAGAAATTGGCTGTATCTTATGATTTACATAACTGATTTTGATTCATATTTTCATCTCATGTAGTTGAAGTATTGTTACCGTGCTTAAAGTGGAATACGTGGAGATGTGAGAAATCGAGTGGAGGTAAGCAAGAGAGATTTGGAGAGGGAGAAGTTACTGAAATCGAGAGACGACTCGCGAGATGGTCTTGCATTACTTAAGAAATGGATCTTTTATAGAAAGTAGTCTTGAGAGGAATTATAACAATTTTTATTTTTAATGAGAAAAATGTGTTAGTATCAGAAAATTTGGATATAGAATGACATGTAAGTAGATGGGGAACTGATCTCCAACCGGCATTTTCGTGCGATGTCACACACTGCAATAACTTCCATTTGAATTGTGCAAATTGAATTCTTTTATTTTGGTGTAGACAACTTCTACAGGTCAATCCCTTTTACTTTGAGAAGTGCCCTTTTTCTTTGCAAGAATTGCTCCTTTTATTTTGACACGTGCCTCTTTCCCTTACTAAACAACTGCTCCTTCTCCTTCTCATAAATGCCCCTTTTCATATCTGATAAATGCCACTAATACAATTTCATAGGTAACCCTTTCCTTGCCATAAAGTGTCCCTTTCCCATTGTCACAAGTGCCCTCATTCATCTCTGGTAAGTGCCCCTTTTCAGAAACGAGAAGTGGCCTTTTAACTTCTGATAAAAGCCCATATTCAAATCTGATAGGTGCCTGTTTTACTTATTAAAACCATACCTGATAATAAAATTATAATCATGATAATGTAGGGGTACATACCAAATTACCAATGTCAGCAAAACGCATTCCCTCCCCCCCCCCTTCCGAAAACTTTTCCTCCCATATAATTTGTTTTTCTTCTTTCTTTTAATCCGATACCAGTGATTCACAAATGTTGCTGAAATGACATGATTTTCCCGAATTTTTTCTTCTTCAAATTCCCAAATTTGTAGTCAGGCTAAAACATTTTGCTATTTTAGAAGCGTTCATGTCAGGGCCTGCAGGTCGGCGGGGCTTGGGGGCTCGAATCCCCCTTCACTTTGTTAAAAAAGTATGTTAAAGAGAAAAATAAAGAATGATTGACGTGCCAGTGTCACAATGGGTATCAAAATATGCTCATCTGACCATAATTAAATGGTTAAAACCCCTGAGCTTACGGGGGTTCCGCCCCGGACCCTAACACGGGCCCCTGGATGCTCATCTGACCGTAATTAAATACAAAAAAAACCTTGAGCTTCATGGGACCCACGCCAATTAGTGACCTGCCAGTGTCCCAAATAAGGTATCTAAATATGCTTATCTGCCTGTAATGTAACGCCTAAAAAAAACCGAGCTTCCAGGGGTTCCCTTTCTTTCTAAATTAAAATAACCCATAAAAGAGGAGATTGAGCTAAACCTTATGGCTAGGATCTTTTAACTACTGTTAGTATTGCCAAAATGACATTTGTTACCTTGCAAACAGAAGTCTATCTCACACAAATAATTAGGATAAAAACCTTTTAATGTAAACTACTCTAAACAAGGGTTACAAAAAGGGAAATAAATTAATTACAAACACAAATAATTAGAATAAATAACTTTTAATATAAGCTACTCTAAACAAGAGTTACAAAGAGGGAAATAAATTAATTACAAACATAAGGAAATTGAACATAAGATAGACACAATTCAATGATTAACATAGATCCTTAGCCATTACTTGAGTTTGATTTTCTCCTTCTGGAGTGTCCTGACAAAGACTTGTCTGACGTCGGCCCCCGTCACTGGATAGTTCAGCCTAATGGTTCCGTCCTGTTCCTCAGTTCCAGTTCAGATTCTTAATCCTAAATACCTACTTCTTGTTGGTGTTTAAAAATGTGGAACCATGGGACCCGGAATATCAAGGTTTCTCGATCCTCTGCAACAACTATGTTGTATTGACCGAGAGCTTATTACATGTCCGAAAACTGTGATTCTGCTTGGAATTGTCTGACCAGTGGATGCTTATATTTGTCCCCTATCATCTTTTCCCTTCACCTTATATGGCCATAGTAGAAGTGTCGTAGTCAAGTGGTTTAAGCACTCGACTTGAAATTTGCAGGTCATGGTTCGATCCCAGACACAGCACTAATGTCCTTTGGCAAGACGTTAATCTACATTTGCCACTCTCTACCCAGGTGTTAAATGGGTATCCGGTAGGATGCAAAAGATAATGTGGTTAGATTAGCAAGTGGCGCTTGTAAAAGGGCGACTGGCCGGAATGCTCCCCAGGGAGTTGAGAATATGCATACATTGTGTGTGGGTAAGCCTGAATCTGATGACCAGGGTAATAATACGTACTGTGCCAAGAAACAAAGTATTAGGCTCAATATAAATGTGAGCTATTATTATTATAAGGCGCTTCCTTTTCAGTGGTAATCCAACGAACTCATACTCACGCTCAAACTCAGACTACTGTGACGTTTGACCAGCATCATACTTTTCATTATTTATTGGAATTTGTTAATTTCCTTGCATTGAGAGTATATCAATGTACTGGAAATTTGCAACTCTTCAGAAGACAGCAGTTACACACCATATATAACGTAATACAATTGCGACACAACCCTAGTAACAAAGAACATACATAAATGTATGACATAATTAATATGTAATTGTCATAAACCTGAATATACACACAAGTTACATCATCTCTCTTTGATATGAAATATGGATACAATATCAATAGTGTCTTAACATAGCATACCCAGTGGCGGATCCAGGGGGGGGGGGGGGGGGGGGGGGGGGGGGGCCGGGGGCCCCCCCCCCCCCCCCCTTGAGAAAAAAAATCATGTAAAATCACGTGATTTTTACTTTTGGGGGTTGGGCCCCCCCTCCCCCGGCGCTCAAGGGGGGGGGGGGGGGGGGGGGGGGTGCAAATTGAAATTTTTTTGAGGATCAAAAAAAAAAAAAATGTGCTCACTACCCCCCCCCCCCCCCCCCCCCCCCCCACTGAGCGGATTTTTAGCCGGCGCGTTTTTCAGATTTTCGGGAGCAAAAAAAAAAAAAAAAAAAAAAAAAAAAAAGCTCTGGACCCACCCCCCCCCCCCCCCACTGAGCGACTTTTCGGCCGGCGCGATTTTCAAATTTTCGGGAGCAAAAAAAAAAAAAGTTGGGCCCCCTCCCCTAAGAAATCCTGGATCCGCGCCTGGCATACCACAAGCCTTATTCTCTTCACACCATGATGTAGTTGTTGCTAAATGGGGCAACCTTTGACAAGCTCCAGAAGATGTTAATTACAGCTTTTGTCACAGAGATATGTATAACATTAAAATAGTGTATTCACTGTTACAGAGATGCCAACCTCTTGACACACAAAAAAAGACTGAGTATATCCTTTAAAAAAAAAAAAATCAGATTTTGACGAAAACTCGACACTACCACTGGCCCGTCAGCCCCGGGCCAGTAAAATTTCAGAAAAATGTTTGCTCTTTTATTAAAATTTAATTAGAAAATTGTAAAGCAAAGTTTTTTGGGGGTTGCGGGGGTTTACTTGTGCATATTTTTATGCGATTCCGCTTTTTTTATGGGTTAAAAAAGATGAAAAATCATATTTTAAGATCGCATTTCACTCTTATTATCGTACTAAAGACGATTTAATCGTACTGGTTGGCATCTCTGCTGTTAGACTAATCCTCTTGATTTTATGAGTCAGGTGTCAACATTCTTCAACCCTTCAGGACATATCTACAAAAATTAAATGTCAAAATTATTACCGGTACTCTCTTGTGGTGAAGAAGGCACTTATGACTCTTATTTGAAATTTATCTCTTTGAAATTACTCGCTCTACAAACGTCTAACAACTCTGCCCCCTACATGCTATTGCTACTGGATTGTTTTCATCTCACTTTTTCACACTGTACATGCTTTTTAGCACCTTTTCAAACACATCGATCTGTTAAATTTATATCCTATCCACCAAAATTACCATAGTAAATTTGCATTCAAATATACTACTTTTACTTCCTTTGTAAAATATATGCTGTTCAAAATATACAAAAGTTCAAAACAGTACTTAATATATACATAGCAAAAATAAGATATTCTGGCTTAAAGACTTAAACAAACCGATGGAGTACTTACTCCCATAAATAATACAATGATAGTACATGAGACTTATTATAGCTCTGTCAAATTGAATTTCGTTCTTAAAAGTGACTATTGATTCAATAAAATTTTACTTGGGTAAAGATAAAACTAAGGAAAATGGGGAATATAATATTTCATCCTTCATGATTATCATTAATAAGTATTCCTTTCAGTGATATAAAACCCCATTTTATACTTGATGTGAAAACCAACAACATAATCTCCATGCATTATTTGAAGTAGGAACCAACATGTTGGAACAAAAAAAATGAGTTGATGAAATTGGCAAAAATTGGCCTAGTACTGAAACTGTTTGATGTATTCATATAAGGAAAATATACTTAACACATTACTTTATGGTTTAATATGAACATCTGAAAAGAACAATGATGATTTTGATTCGACTGAATACACAATAAGCGAATACTACATATCTTATTATCCTACAGTAGATACATGACATAGCAGACTGATCTGTATCTAAATCTACACCCAAAAGCAAATCAAGTGAGGTGCTATGGCTCAGTGCATGAACAGTGGTCTCTTCACCGAGAAGTCTTGGTTCAAAACGAATTCAATGCGCTAGTGCCCTTTGGCGTTACCAAGTAGACTGGACTTGAAGCCGTCTGTCCCCTAGTTGCTTACTTACAAGCATACACATGCTTTCTTAGCAGCACAACAAACAAACCAATCAACTGTTACATATTCTGCAGATTCAGAAGACAAAGATACTCAAGATAATTGTATAAGGTGATAAATGGCCCCAAAAACAACATAAGTGCTGCAGCCAAGTTGCCAGTTTACATAATATACACAATGAAAGACCGTTGGCATCATATAAATATACATCTTTAAAATAAAATAAAACTGAGACAAAGTCTAGCAGTCAAATACAATTACAATCCATAATGTTACCATCTAGACACCCAACCTCAGGCTAACTGCAAACTCTCTTCAATCCACCTTAAACAATCCTTTCACCTAATCTTTTAAATTAGTCCATCACTATTATCAATTGAGTTCCATGCCTTACAGCACATACCGGAAGAACAGGTCGTAAGCACATTTTACTTGATGATAAGCATGTCTGCAATCTCGTTGGGCTATCATTTAATCATCGCTTAAAATTAATCTATAATTTGAGTTGTTAGTCAGCTTGATCTCGCCCTTATGCAAACACTTTGAATCTCTTGCACAGAAAAGAAGCTCTCCATCTACCTATCTACTCCAACCCTTATCTCATGCAATCCTCTTCCAATGCACCAGGGGGCATTTCACACTAAAACTTGTCATCAGTGACAAATGACAATTTTTGTTATCAGCTACTGAAATCCTTGCTTCTGATTGGTTATCAACAGATTTGTCACTGATTTTTGTCATTTGTCATTGAAAAAGGGTTTGTGAAATGGGCCGCAGTACTACAGCTGAACCTCATTATTTCTACACACAGCTTTTACTCAAAGGTATTAAATGGATACACTGAAATATAATCCTATTAGGGCTCAGAGACAGAACTATTCAAATACGGTAAGTCGGATCAGCAAGATGACATAGTTATAATGAGATTGACAAGACAATGTTCTTTATAATGATAGTTCATCAGAGACGTTATCTCTCTCCCTACCCTCATCTTATGCAATCCTCTCATGCAATCATCTTATGCGATCATCTTATGCAATCATCTTATGCAATCATCTGATGCGATCATCTTATGCGATCATCTTATGCAATCATCTAATGCGATCATCTTATGCAATCATCTTATGTAATCATCTTATGCGATCATCTTATGTGATCATCTTATGCGACCATCTTATGCGATCATCTTATGCAATCATCTTATGCGATCATCTTTCCTTGCACAAGGAACCCCCAGCTCTCCATCCATCGCAGAGATTCCACCTCCTCTTCAGTGAAGTCCTTGTTTCCATAACACATCGGCAAGAAGCTTTTGAAGACTACGAAGATGGATGTCAGCCAAACAACCAGAAGGCTGGTGAAGAGACTACGCTGAGCAGAAGTCCTACCATGAAAGATGGAATTAAAGAACTTTCAGAATTTTCACAAACAAATTTCTGATTTCGCTTGAATGTAACGAACGATAATATCAGCACAAGCTCTAAAATATCTTGAAAAACTAGCCCTTCATAAGAGACATATTAAATTTACTCAATGGTTAAACTTCAAAGAGGGTAAAATAAATTGGTTCAGGACAATCACCGCTCCCCCCCAATTATTATCAGGGTACACAGGGGGTGGGGGGGGGGGTGTAGAGGTAATTTTTGAGAGGGGAGTAATTGTCCTCGGGTTAGTTGTCCTTTTTTTTGGAAGGGGGGGGGGGAGGGGGTAATTGTCATAGGGGGAATTTTTCAGGGGTGGGGGGTAATTGTCCATGGGGGTAATTTTCAGGGAGGTGTGTGTGTGTGTAATTGGGTTTTTACAGACGTGTATCAATCAATTTCCTGACTATTCTTGTCTCCAAACTGTATACTTTTGTTCATTACAATGAGTAACTAATGGTATGACCATACCAACTATGTTTATAATATATTCATATCGAGAACAAACTATATTGTAATATTGTTTCAATAAGCTGCAGATATATTCCCTTCCCTTTTCCTTGTCTTTTGTAGTTAATTGCGAGTATCGGTTCATGTATCCCTGTAATCTCCCTTTCCCTGTTTTAGTGTGTATTTGTATTTTATAAACTTTACTTTAGTTAATTATGTCATTTTTAGTTTAAGGAGCCTATCCACAACAAGCTCTGCTTTTCCATAGCCTCCGCCACTTTATCTCTTAAGTTAAACTTAATGGACAATATTCTGAATAGTGTGTACCGGTATTGTACGACATGTATAAAATAATCATTTTCAATATGTTGTTACACTCTTTGTAAAATGAGATATTGTGGAAACCAATAAACTATCTATCTATCTATCAGATATGATTATTAACGTCTGGGGACCGACCTTTAAACGTCACCATCCGAAAGACATGACTCAGTTTCAAACCTGCGTCCTTGGGGGGCAATTTTCTTTGGGGTAATTTCCCCCCGGGTGGTGACTGTCCAGGGGGTAAATCCTTTGATTTTAATATAGAGGGTGGAACTGTCAGTTAAATTAAGCCTGGTTTACCTAGGCCTGCTTCTATAAATTGGGTCAGATTTGTATGATGGTGGACTTACTGCAAGACATGGAAGTAAACTATCTCAATTGTAGCAGCCAAAAGTAGGATCTTTGAGAGAAATGCTGGCAGGTAGTGGTGTAGAAAGAGGGTACGCTCCATCATAAAGTATGGAAAATAGTTGACAAACCATGACAGGAAGAGGGCGCCTGTCATGAAAAGACGAATCCATTCATCTGACAAGAAAACATGAAGTGGTTGAAAGAGAGTTTAGAGGTGGTATCGCTTGGTAGATACAGAGATCGACCTGGAAACAATGATTCCCGTTCATGAGCCAAGTCAATGCCCTACACACTGGTGGATGATGGGGGAGGGCACAAAAACTTACATTAATTACACAACAACAAAAGATTTGACCCCACTTATCAATTCTTGTTGAACTGAAAGCTCCTAAGATAAATGAGATATTTGTTTTTGTCCTTGCTATTCATATATCTATATTTCGTTGTGCCTCCTTACAAAATCCTGGATATGCCTCTGGCACTTAAGTTTGGATATGAAATCAATATTAAAAATTCTCACAGATTGAATGCTGTAGGTCTTTTGAAAGTTTAGAAACACATCCAGGTTTTTTCAAGACTCAATGGATAATTGGAGATATGTTCTGTAGCAAGACATTAATCAACATTTGTCTCTCTTGACCCGGGTGTAGTGGTTGCCTGGTTAGATTCATATTTCAAAATGCACAGTGCACTGGTATCTGAATTAAACAGGGATTATAATTTTAACTTTAATTTTAATTCATAAGTACTTAGAAAGTGCATACACACGTCTTATTATACAACTCAGTCTTAGTTCCTATCAAACGATTGGTCAATTGTGGTCATATGTGATTCATTTAATGAGACTATCCCATGTTTTCTCTTGAATGCGCAGCAGTGCCCGTAGAGGTTAGTGCGCCTATAATGTGTTGGCTAAAGAAAGTTTAAAACTTGGAATTTATTTGTCATCCATAATGACAAGAAACAATATTGACTTCGGAAATGAATTCTTTGTACATCAAATACTAATCATCTAGGAGTTTTGTTGTATAATACAAATGATGCAAGTTTTCATTTTTTCATGAAACGATCTATCTCCTCTCACTGAGTCTGTTTATGCACTTATGATACCATAGATGCATACAGCCGCTCCTCAAGTGTGGAAAGGTTGTATAATAAACACATTCGCATGCATCATTTGTTCATAAACAGAGCACATTATCATTGAATAGGTGGGTTGTAAAATAAGACCTACCTTTTGTGAGATCATTGCAAGCTCTCTGATGTCGTATGATGTAGATGACCATGACGACCAGATAAACAACAATCCCTAGATTAGCTGACCACCATGTGATCACGTTACCAAGGAGATGAATCTGAGCCTGATATTGAAAGGAATTTTTAAACAGAATGGTAATTAAAATGAGTGGAGTAAAGAGAAGGCCGAGTTCTGAAATGGATGAAAACGAATTAGGTCAGCTTTCTCATTCTCTTTCTGAAAAATACCATGGTAAAAATGTCGCCTGAAAAAGGAATTTTTAAAATACCATCATTTTCACAATATAACAAGATATGGCTGATATTTTGGGACATTAGTTGCCAAATGTGTGTGTAGTCCCATATACCCAGTTCTGTTTGCAGTGCATGTGTTTTTCTGCAAGAGTGAGTCAATTCTTTTCAAATTGATCATTCACAAAACTCACAAGATACATGTACATCAATGCTATATATATATATATATACTGCATTATCAATCATTCCCGATTACCTCCAGACAGTTTCTTTCACAATGTAATAACATGGCCAGTACTCTACTTTATTATTTAACCCAAAAGATGATTGTTTTGGTAGTCTCACCATCAAGGAGGGGAAGGTTCCTCCATGATCTCCATCGCCTCCCCCCCCCCCCCCCCCCCTTCCTCCTCCCCCTCTCCTCCATCCCCTCTATATCCCTGCTATCACAAAGTCTTAACAAATGTTAATATTCACTAAGTATTGTGTGATCAAAGCGTTTGTTGAAGATGAATAATGTAGGCAGATCTATGTTCAACAAGAGACTCTAAGTCAAATCAAAGAGTTACATGGCTCTGCAGATATGGGATATGAAACCATACATAATATTCCACAAAAAATGTAACAGGTATATTGCTTGCTAAACGCCAGAAGAGAGTTCATCTACAGCTAACGATCTGCTTTTCCGACCCTTTTACAGAGCGGTCATACCTTTTGTGCTACACAAAGATTCAATCAGTTTAATTTCGGCTATTACGAGTAGCGGGTTATTGATGTAAACAAATGTTCATGTACGTGTTACAGCTCATTTTATGTAATTTGTTATGTTATTACGAAAGAAAAAAGATGTCAGTCAGTCATTAAATAGTGTCTGACAGTTAAGTTTAGAAGGTAAACGGGTTTCCTTGCATAATTTGAATACTAGGACACTGCTAATGTTTAAATTTCACAGATAGGACATACATGACATATTCATAATTCCTGCAAAGTTCTACAGAATTTGATGTTTGCTGCAAAAGGGACATACATGTAGAGTAAAGGAAGGAGTATTTGGTCCGTTTGATGCATGGTAAAATCCCTTTAATAAAATACATTGCATAACAGCATATCACATACATACAATAACATGGCAGAGTCACTGGAGAACCACATTTACAATGGAAAATATATCCTTAAATATCACATTTTAGCGATGTAATCGGCGGTCCCGCTACCCGAATCTGAAAAATGGAATATCTTATGCGTGTCTGTAAGGAATATGGGTCCCATGAAATGAGCTGTATTTCAAGTATTTTTCAGATTTAGAGTCAGATTTTTAGACCATCAAAAGCTCAAAAGTTTCTCACCGCATGTATATTATCTTATCAGTCGGATACTATAGCGCAGTATCTCTGCATAGTTTAGATTCCAGTTTCTGATCACCGCACCCGCATGTGTAGTTTTTGGCCATGCGGGGGATTACATGCTCTGGCCGCACGTGCTATAGATCAGCGGGCAAACGCACGGCGCGCACTCCCTATTGACTTTGTACATGCGACCGAAAACTGCCTCGCTAGGCCGAAAACTACCGCCGAAACAGTGAAAATGGAAATCAATATTGCCATGGCAATTCATGATTTTTCTGGGATTCTTTTTTTGTTTGAATAAATCATAGTATTGGCTTCATGATTTGAACAAAAACATGATAATAAATAGGAAGTAAAGAGTCCAAAAATAGGATTTTGCTTTAGGGGGCCGAAAACCCCCTCCTTTACTCTAGTATCTTTAACATACGACATAAGATTTACATTTGTGGTTGTCTTCATCCAGTAGGCAATACCGCGTTCCATGAAGGGCCATCCCATTGGGTCCGATTGGTACTTGTGATCCTCTAGCAGATTCCTATTTGCTTCCAGCATCTTCAACTGTATTAACAACATGACACAAATCAATAATCATTAGCACTCAGATATGATTTGTAGAATACAAAATCCCTCCCCTCCAACCCCCCCCCCCCCCACAACCAAAACAACATGGATAAGAGTGCATCTCTGATATGCCTCTGCTTACATGTTAATACATTGATCAATGATCCTGTGACCTTTAACATCTGACCTCACAAACTCAAGTGCTTATCATTCAATGTTCTTAGTGGTTGTACATACATGTACTTGAGCCAAAACATTTATTATGACCTGTGACCTTGACCTCTTCCATCCAAAATCAGTTCATCATTGCATGCTGGTACATGCTCCATCTAAGTTTGGTTCGAATTGCTGTAATAATTTAGAACGTGGTAAGAAGGTCTTTTTCTGGTATTTTTTAACACTTTTAGGACCCTTGACCTTTGACCGAAGACTGATGAATGTACGGACGGACAGACAGACATCAGCCGAAACAATGCCTCTGGCACCACCTTAAGCATTGATAACTATTTTAGAAACGTGAACCCTTAGAATAGGTATCTATCAAAATATAACTACATAACAGTTTTCCACAGACCCTTTCACAAGTTATCTTGGTTAAGTATTTAACAGATTAGATATGAAAGGACCAGTTTAAACTATAAAAATATTATTTTTAACATAATTTCAAGTTTGATTCTGAATCATTTAAAACATGAACCAAGCACAAGTGTAAATAATATTTCCATTTATGTAGAAGAACATAAATTTGCAGAAGGAATTCAGCTTTAAAAATATTGCTTTTAACATCTTGCACAAGATACAAACTTGCACCCAAATCTTGAGAGAAGCCTGAAAAGAGAACAAACTCTACTTGTATTTTTGTTTCCTAACTAGATACAGGAGTAAGAATTATAATTTTTTTGTTTCTGAAGACATGTCTAAGACTCTAAACCAGAGTTACATCAAAATACCATACCCTTCCTGAGTTTAATGGGAAATAGAAAGAGAAGAGAGTTTTTACCTGTAATTCCCAGAATTTACTGAAGAAACTTAGCTCCTTTGTATCATCCCAGAAGTCATCTTCTTTGTCTGCAAATATCAATGTTATCACAATTAAATTTTAATCTGAGATTTAGTCCTCAAATCAGAAGGTAAAAGTACCGACTGTAAGCAACCCCCCCCCCCCCCCCCCCCCCCCACCGGCTGGATATAAATCCATTGCATTCCCAAGAAACTACACCACTAATTCAGTCCTGTCACATGTATTCATATCAAGCTTACTTTTTCTACTTGCTATGGCATATTCAATACAAAACAATATTATCAAACACTAACCAAGTAGAGCAGGGACAGAGGGGGCACAGTACTCCTTAACTTTACCGACAAGTGACAGAAAAAGGACAAAGAAAGTTGTTGGGATTATTCAGTCTGCCTTATTTTTTAATCCAACAATCTCTGACAAGTGGAAAAAAGTTATCAACACAAATAGAAAGAGGGGGGGGGGGGGATTCTTGGACTCGTTTACTTAAGGTATGGCATTGGCAATTGGCTTTTAAAGGAAGGGGGCGCAGGGCTGGTGAAGAAACAAGAAAGAAGAATTAAACAAGAGAAATCTGCCAATAGAGTAGAATGGTAACTAGTTAGGAGTAGAGTGTAACCTACCACTTGAATGTTTATTTTCCTCCACATTCCAGATGTTGGAGTCCTGATTCATGACACGATCTGTAGCAACTTCATGCTGGTAGAAACCCCAATCCGGGAGCTGTTGACCGGTCAACTAGAGGAGAATCACAGTCATGAATATTTATAAAAAATAGAAAATTACTTCCGGTACACAAGATATCAGAATTTAAAGAGATGATGCGATCCCTAGCAACTTCATACTGGTAGAAGCCCCAATATGGGAGCTGTTGACCGGTCACCTAGATGAGAATCACAGTCATGAATATAAAAAAAAAAACACCATTACTTCCGGTACACAAGATATCAGAATTTAGAGAGATGATGCGATCCCTAGCAACCTCATACTGGTAGAAACCCTAATCTGGGAGCTGTTGACCGGTCAACTAGAGGAGAATCACAGTCATGAATATTAAAAAAAATAACATTACTTCCGGTATACAAGATATCAGAATTTAGAGAGATGATGCCATCCCTAGCAACTTCATACTGGTACAAACCCTAATCTGGGAGCTGTTGACCGGTCAACTAGAGGAGAATCACAGTCATGAATATTTAAAAAAATACCATTACTTCCGGTACACATGATATCAGAATTTAGAGAGATGATGCCATCCCTAGCAACCTTATACTGGTAGAAACCCTAATCTGGGAGCTGTTGACTACTAGTACTTTGCCTGTATGACAAACAATGTAATGAAGATATTATTAATGTCAATTCCTGTCTGCAAGAAACCTAGACTTACAGCTGCTGACCTGTCCTGACTCGTTTATGAACCTGTTATATATTAAGGAACTAAAACTGAAACTTGGACTTGAACTGAAGATCAGGTTTTAAATTGATTAATCTCAATACTATTATCATCAAATACATTTTTTACTCCATTCAGGTCTTAAATAGTAAGGTATCTTTTCATATTTCAATGGTGGCCCCTTTTCATAAGCCCTGCTTTCTCCAGGGTCACCAAACCATCATTGTGTTATTCTAATTCTTGATGTAACTTATTTTGATTGTATATATATATAATGTAATGGTTGAACAAATAAATGAAATTGAAAAATCAAAAAAAAAATGAAACTAAGACCAAATTTTACATATACACACAGTTTTAGCATGTACCTACTGCTTATAATCAATGACAACTTTCAAGCGCAGTATAATTATCTTATGATTACCTTCATAGCTTGTGATGTATTGACATGAATCAGTCTGATGTGTGAATGGATCGCTTTCCATAAATTACCTTGGACATCCTTGTTCACTATTTCCTGTACAGAAAAAAGAAAAAACTTTACTGTATGAAACGCGTTATCAAAATTCTTAGAACGTATTCTCATAGAAATCTTGCCTACGATATCCAGAGACTGAAAATGATTTTTACAATTCTGTTTTTGTGGACTAGTCTAATGTTTGAATATGCATAGCTTCCCATACATCACACTTTGAATAATACCCTTGTTCACTACGGATAAACCCCTCCCCCCCCCCCCCCCACAAAAAAAAAAAAAAAAAAACCCACACCAAAATAATCTTTAGGCGAGGCGTCAAAAATAAATATACCAGCCAGCGGCAGCTAACTGCACTTGTGCGTCCTGGCTGCATTTTCTAAATTAGCTCAGCCGGCTACCGCTGGCGGTAGGACCCTCAATTAACTCATGATGTCATCATAATGGTCTCCGAACAAAAGCATGCGCCGGCTGCCGCCTTTCGAATGTAAACCGAGCCTCAGATCCCAGCCTGGCGCAAGCCGGCTGGGCTAATAAGTGAAAAATAATTGCCCCAGCCAGGCTTCGGCCGTAATTGCAGCCTCGATGCGCCAATACGTGAGGCGGCAGCCTGCTGGTATCGATATTTTTGACGCCTCGCCTTAGTAAAAATGAACCCTTTGATAATATGTTATTCTCAGCTTGGTGCATATATGTATATCCATAGAGAAGGTATTTTATCTAATAATAATAATAATATTGGATTCTTAAATAGCGCACGTATTGACCTTGCAAGGTCCTCATGGCGCTCCAACATTACCCGGCTTTGCTAGGCTGCCGATTTCGACTGTCGTCTCTTCTGACCCAGGTGTTCAACAGGTACCTGGCAGAAATTAGTTCATGAAAATGCAATATTTGCTGTTGATGAATGCTGAGTTAATAAAATCAAAACCTTCAAATATGAAAAATAAAAACTCTTACCACTCTCCATAAGTCTTGAGCAGGAAAGGAGATGTTGTAATCAATGTAACATGATACCTCCATGTATTGAGGTGACATTGGAGCACCTACATCATGACTGTAACATAAAGACAACACATTCATCAATCATCTGTAATTCAGACTCCTCTTTCAGTGACGTTACAGTGTTATCTTTTAATAAAAAATGTTATGATTTACACATACTGCATTAACAGAAAGAGCAAAAAGCACAGAAATGTTTTTGTTCATGAGTAAGAACCATTTTACAGAAAATATGTAAAAAAGTATCTAGATTGGCATCACAGAGTTGAATAAATGATTATTTTACTGCTCTAATTGCTCATTTTATGTTGAATATTATAACTCTAGTTGTGGAGATACCTGTTAAGTCGCCGCCCCGAGGTCCCATGAATCAACTGGATGATGTCACCATCTTTGACGGGTCTCTGAGGATTCTCCGTCGCGAATCCTTCTTCCTCAGGGTCTTTCACTATCCACCAATTATTAACATCCTACAAAATAAACGTTATATTAATACACTGAACATTTAAAGATAAAGGTGAGTTTGGTCATTCGATTGTATTGTGAAAGAAAAGGTGTGGAATGGATCAGAAAAAGTTGATCATGTAGCATGTAAGTATTGGTGTATACTGCAAAGTTCTGGAGTCATCAAAATCATAATAAATTTGGCCCAGTCTTGGTAAAGTAACAAGCACTGTACACAGAAAGATGTACATATATGGGACTACACAAATGGTGTCGGGGCTACTAACCTTGATTTCCTAATCTTTCTATGCTCATTACTCAGCCAGTATACATTTTCTACCAATCTTGTTTGGTAAATGACATTTATTTGTAATCTCGAACATTCAGTGTAAGTTTCATTTGATTCTGTGAGAATTAATTTTCTTTTTTTTACCAGAACTCACCTTTATCTTTAAGGCTCATTCAGATATGATGCAGTAAAAACTGTGACAGATTTTTTACAACATGACATGTACTATGCTTATGAAAAATGTGAAAATGTTAAGTCCTTTCTTGCATGTAGCTGTAATTCATTTACAAGTTTTAAAAATGCAATATTTTACTGCAGTTGGAGCTATACATCTAATGATACAAGTTCGTGCACCGGAAATCTCAAGCAGCCACCCACAGGATATTGCGTTATCAACTTTTATGTGGGCGGCACGGTAAAATGTGTCTCATGCTTTTATTCAAGATCCTAAAAATTTCATTGTGGGGCCCCTCATTAAAAAAAAGTTAGTGAAGAGTCATTACACAACTTTCACAAGCATGATTCTGGCATTTTTCTGTGTTAGTTTTACACGTGGGATCACATAATCTTTGTCTGCTCATGTGTGCATGTAGATTGTATCTCTAAACTGGATTATTATCTTCCTACCTCTTCCTTACTCTGCTTTTCAATCATATGCCCACACTACACACCCTCAAGAAGCACTTGAAGACTTATTTATTTCACTAATACACCAGTTTACGGTTACATCAGTGCACATGCGCAGACAGGCTGACCTCGGGTCATTGGCTTTGAAACAAAGCCAATGACCTGAGGTCAGTGGTATTTATGCGTAAATTAAGATTGCGCCCATGCAAATGATGATGTGTGCACACAACGCAACGCGCAGGCAGTGATGTCATCACAATTTGCATGGGCGCAATCTTAATTTACGCATAAATCCTTGTTTACTCGCCAATTAAAATGGCGCCCCTAACCGTAAACTAGTGTATTGTCCCACCTTTATACCATGTAAAGTACTGTGAAACCAGTTGTGTGAGAGCACTATATAAATGAAAATATTATTATTATTATTACCTTGAATGTATAGCATGTGACCTGCTGCTGTATGCTGCTCCCCCTTCTTTCCGAGTATCTCAATGGGTAAAGATGGGGATGAGAGTGGAGCCAGCAAACAGTGCTGTGTGTATGCCGGAGAGTGATCTGTTGATCAGAGAGCACAATTCAAAAATAATGAAAATATTAACTGAATATGAATAGCTGATATCACAACTGCATGTGCAGTTCAAACTTTGTATTTATAGTAGGAGAAAATGGTTAGAACTCATTATTATTCCTCACACCAGAACCAACATGTGTGACTGTGGCATGCATGAAGAAGAAGAAGAAGAAGAAGAAGAAGAAGAAGAAGAAGAAGAAGAAGAAGAAGAAGAAGAAGAAGAAGAAGAAGAAGAAGAAGAAGAAGAAGAAAAAAAAGGAGGAAGAGAAGGAGGAGGAAGAAAAGGAGGAGGAAGAAAAGGAGGAGGAAGAAGAGGAGGAGGAGGAGAAAGAGAAGAAGGACAAGAAGGATAAGAAACGATAATACAAACCAGTTATGAATTTACCTGTGAACCATAGGCTATGTTCTTTGGTTGACCCTGAGTGACCTTTGCTAGGCCTCCTTCCAGTGAAGCTTGGAATGCACTGGACATCCGTCCATCATGAGGACCACTCCGATACAACACAGTCAGGTGGATGTAGAAGAAGGATAGGTATAGCACCACAGGCACAATGATGAGTAGTACTGCTCTTGCTAACATCTCTTTGAATAGGTGGGACTAAACAAAATAAATGCATTTACATACCTACACATGTATGCATACCAACATGTCGCAAAGCAAATTTTTCCAGTTCTCAATGTCTTATCTGTTGAAATGTCATCAAATCATACATCCATGATACTGCCTTGATTATGTAAGACATGCTACCAATCAAGCTGCAGGTTGTGTATCTCTCTCCTATGACAAGTACAATTTTAACTGGAACTAAATTGACATCTCTCTATTCTTAATCTTATTACAGCTAACCTGTATATTATACCCATTTTCTCCCCAGTCTACTGTTATGGGTTTCCCAGATATGATTCAGGGGTAAAGATGCTGAATATATTACGTGCATTAATCAGATGAGCTATATGTAATTCAAAGTTTGCCATAGATCTATCGAATACACAGGAGTATTCAAGGGTAAATGATGCATTCATTTGTGTATGGACTCCTGAGAAATTATTCCGAATTTAGCCACTTTAGAAACCCATTGGATACTGAAGAAATGTGCATTTCCAATACGATTGACCCCAGGTCATCTAGGGCCCCCGGCCCCCCCCCCCAATTCCGGGGTCGGAATGACTGCATGCGTGTTACCAAAATGTCCGGTAAAGGGGTACTTTTCGTGCGACAAAGTCCGGCCCGAGAATTGTAAAAAAAGGGGTGTATTTGACTTTTCACCCGGAGATTTCTTTAAAAAGGGGGTGTTTTTCTTTTTTTCTCTCATGTCTTTGGACTCCTGAGAAATTATTCTGAATTTAGGGGGGTACATTGAGCATTTTTCCGTATTTAGGGGGGTCTCCAAGGCAGGAAAAGCCCGCAAAAAGCCCGCGAAAGGGGGGTTCGGAAATGTTGGCAGTCCTCAGATAGGGGGTGCTTTCAAAAAGAGAGAACGAGCAAACGCGTACCCTAAATAACACTGAGTGGGGGGGGCCGGGCAAGGGCCTAAGGCCATTGCAAATCCTATGATCCGACTGTAAAATGAAGCAAAATCGTTCTCCATAGACATTACACACAATCCCTATACTTTGTATGGGAATTAGTTTTGGAGGAAAAGATCTGGCAGGTGATTGAAAGGCCTAGTGTCTCAAACGGAATGCCAGGTATTGAAGTCGAGTTTATACGTTTTTGCTAAACACAAGCTATGTTTTTAGGTGTTGGTGCACGTTAAATGAAATACAGAGTAGCAGAAGATTCTTGCTAGTCACATTCAGGATCTCTGTAAGTTACAATCTACAGGTGCATGTCTATTTCTGACTGTCTATATCTAGTTTTATAGCAATTTCTTCCAGTATCGAGTTGAAGCAGGTCGTAAGGTGTGCTGTGGCCTGTAGTATAAAAAGGGTTAATTCTTACATTTGAGACGCCTCTGTCACCAACCATAGTCCAGTAATCAGCTGTAATAACACCAAGGATGACAACTGATGTAAACAAACCAGAATACTTCACACTGAAAGAGAAAACATTAAGAAAAGATGTGGATTCATTACATGTATGTTCTATGAACCAGCAATTACTAGGCCGAGAGTCATCATGGTTTTCCTTTAAAATAGGGCCGGAGGGCTGAAACTGGTCGGCTCTGAAGCACTCATAAATTTACTTGTGAGATAACAGTTACAGACTTTGTGTTGAATTTGTACATACTTGTACTTTACACCTGGATGAGCAGGTCAGAAAGTTGGAATATTTCATGCCACAATTTATTAATCAATAAATGATTATAAGCATATTGGCATTTAAGACTACTACCAGGGTATCTATCAATTTTTGTATTTGATTTATCAGCCAAGTTCAATGTTACATAAATTCAAAAAGTAGAATAATATTATAAAATGAAATCAATAAAATAATATACAGTAGGCTTGCGGTTGCACCATGTGAGAGAGGGGAGGATTTATTTCTCGAGTGTGTGTAGTCCTGAAAAGGACTGTTGGTAGTCTTGAAAAAGACTGTATAGTTCAAAGAAGAAACTATAGCGCCGATTGGAGAGGATGGGTGGTAGGAGTGGCTCCCAGTGGTTCTCAGACAAACAAGGGAAACGCTCTCGGCGGTCTCGCCTGCATAACACAATTCAATATGATAAACCAGAACGTCAATGACGTAGCGCTCATCCGCAGCTCACAACAACAAATATCGTAAATTTTATGTGGTACACTTTTGAACTGGTCAAAAAATAGAAATTTGATGCCCTGGAAGGGACATAATTTCATTTCATTTGCATAAAGTACCATAAATAATCAATGCAGCAAAATCTCACAATTCTGTGTAGAAGTTTATTGTTCCAAATTTAGCTCTACCAGATAAGGCAAAATCGGTCAAGAAATGAGGGAAAAGAAGCAATTTTTGTTATTTTTGGAATAAATTTGCATAAATTACCATAATTAATAAATGGAGAACAATTTCAAAATTCTGTGTAGAAGTTTAGTGTACCAAATTTAGCTCTACGATATAAAGCAAACCAAATCAAAATCGGTCGAGAAATGAAGGAGAAGAAGCCTTTTTTGTGATTTCGAATAAATTTGCATAAATTAGCATAGATAATGAATTTCACGATTCTGTGTAGAAATTTTAAATCCCCTCCTAGCCCTATCATATGAAACAATCAGAATCAAAATCGGTTGAAAAATAACGAAGAAGAAGCATTTTGAAAATCTTAATGTTGATGCCACAACAAAGTCTAAGTTTGTTGACCTTAAATGGCCTTTGACCTTAACTTAGTGACCTGAAATTCTACTCACATGATTGGGGAGACTTGATAACCCTATAGTCCAAGTTTCATTGACTAAGAACTTATACTTTCAAAATTATATCAAAAATTCAAAAACTTAACCTTAGGTTAAGTTTTCGATGATGATGCTACAACATAGTCCAAGTCTGTTGACCTGAAATGACCTTTGACCTTGACTTTGTGATCTGAAATTCTACTCACATGATTGGGGATACTTGATTACCCTATAGTCAAAGTTTCATTGACTAAGAACTTATACTTTAAAAATTATACCAAAAATTCAAAAACTTAACCTTAGGTTAAGTTTTTGATGTTGACGCCGTCGCCGTCGCCGTCGCCGTCACCGGAAAAGCGGCGCCTATGTCTCGCTTTTTGCTACGCAGGCGAGACAATATCAAAACTGTAAGCATGCGTGACCAAGAAAATGTGTATAATTAAAAAAAAAATAAAGACTGGTGCCGCATTTTGGGGTTAGAAACGTCCATTAAGGGCCATTTTCAGGAAAAAGGGTATACATTTTCAAAATGATGCAAAATCCTGCTGTACGCGGGGGGAAAAGGGTTAAGGGTTATTTTTCTAGCCCTCAGGGCCATACCGGGAAAAAAGGGGTAATAATTTGTTGTGTTTCCTGCCCTCGTGTTTGCTCATGTAGACAACGGCCCAAGAGGTAGCTTATCTTGGCAAGTCTGTTTGAAACGATCTTAAGATCTTCAGTAGATCAAGACAGATGCCCACGATACCGACAAGTCTAACGCCTACAGCATCTGGCCGCACAGCAGACGTGACTTAGACCTCTTCATCGCCCACATCAACCAGCATCACCCGAGCATCAAATTCACAATTGAGACCGAGCAAAACAAAAGAATCAATAAATTCACTACAATGAGACAAGTAATTTGTGTAATACCTTATAGTACATGAGAGGAAGACTCCCAAGCATGTTAGCCATATCCACCACTGAATACTAAATGGCCTGAAAAAAATAAAAATAAACAATCAAACATATCAGAGAGCTTTTAAAGACATGTGTATAGCATGGAAATATCCTCATTATTTGGATCCAAAACCTGAATATGCTCAGGTTATATCATTCGATCATTGATTTTAGCAAAACCAAAAGGTTAGGTTTTAGGGTCAGGTAGAGTGTTTGGACAAGGTATAACATTAATCAATTCAATAAGTATAGGATATTGACGGCAGAGCACTGGTCATCAGAGCATGAATCATAAAAACCTTGGATCATTGCAAGGAAAACGCGCTACAGTATATCAAATATCTTTTGGATTGGATTTGGATTGGATCATTTTATAAATGAACATTTAAACCAAGAGCAGCGTTCTTGCCAGTAAATAACACACTTGGTGCTCATACCAAGGGTATAGTATTCAAGAAAAAATATATACAAAGGGAAAATCCCCCCCCCCCCTCCACCCTCACTCTTTTCCTGGGTAGTGCGACAACAGATTTCACTCAATTTGGACCAATGATAAACTTTGCAAGAAGTCTTACTTACTTATCCTGTACTTGTCTGAATCTCAGAAGAGCTAGAAAAGACAGCAGGATGAAACACAGCAATATGGTATCCAACAAGATGAATCGAGACTGAGTCAACAAAGAATTATCTATATATGAGGACAAGAAAGAAAAAAAAATGTTACTTTTGGTACAATGTACATTGTATGGCACTTTTGAATATATACACATGCAGTACAAGAATGCTTTTAATAGTACACTCATATGCAGGTTGAAACCAAATTCATGAAAACCAAACATAATAAAGAGGGATTTCAAAATAAGAGATACCTTATGCAATTTTTTTTTCTCCTGCTTTTATTAATACCAGCTAATTATCAGGATGAACTCCCCTTCCATGATATTGTACATACCAGTACTAATATAGATATAGATATCGCGAAAAACAAAAAAGTGGGAGGGACGGACTGACAATCGAAAACATTATGCCTCCAGTGAACAGAGGCATAAAAAGCTACTACACACCTATAACTATTTCAGAGCTGTAGGTGATTTAAACTACCCCAAATTCTGATATTTTATTAAAAGAGAAAAGCTTTTATTTCTTCTTCAAATCAAAACTGGTTCATAAATTTTGAAGAAAAATACTGTGATGTCTGCTTCAGCAACTATCAGCATAGAAAGGCCACATCATTTCCCTTAAACAGTGGTTCTCATTGAAACCTTTATCAATAAAGTAACATTTAAATAAAGAACACCTGGTTCTAAAAACTATATTTTTTGTCTCCTTAAAACTCTGTTCAAATATGCCGTATCAAACCACCATGGTTTTTTAATTACATGTATGATGTAAAGTGTAACAAGCTTCACATTCATACACATAGCTAAGTGAATACACGTAGAAACTTTGCTGCACACAGCTGTCACTTATTTATACTTCATAAGAACCCACTGTGGTTTATCACGTCATTTCTGAATGAGGCTTTTGAGCATAGAGTATTTTCCAGGCCCCCCACTCCGGGGTTGGAGGGACCGCATTCGTGTTCCCAAAATCTCTGGTAAAGGGGTACTTAGTTTCACGCAACAAGGTCCGGCCCGTATTGACTTTACACACCGGACTTGGGGGGGGGGGGTGCATTCAAAGGGAGGGAAAACACATACGCGTATCCTAAATACATGTAGCACTGGGTTGGGGGGGGGGGCGTGCATACTTTACAGCGCCGTGATAAGAACTTGCTTGACTCACCACACACAACAAGGAAAGCTCCTACAGCTGCTGTCCATTGGCTGAATCCCATACCTTCCAAGATGTAGAATGTGAGAGGGGTAAGCAGAGACCCACAGAGGGCTGGTAGGAAGCGCAAATGCCATATCGGAACTTCGCATGGGTATTCTAGAATTGAGAACAAAAAGTAAACTGTTGGAAGGCAGATTTTGTCCTTTAGCATTACCACCATATAATAAATGTAATTAGTTTTATATGCAGTAGGTGCCCTAGACCTTCCTGAACAGGTACTGAAGACCCTTACTCATAACACATGTCGAGTCTGAAGCAGTCCACCACATTCTTAGAAATTCCCCATTTTCAAGGCCAGCTAAACTTGTCAAAAGAGTACAAGGTGTAACCACATTTCTTGAATAGAGGTAAATACAGCAATATTTAGGCAGTTAAGTTAAGTTAGGCAATTAAACGACTGAAATATACATTCTTATGTACTGTATCATAGGGCGATGTGAGGTAAAATATGGCTCGCAGGTCCTGATACAATGTAAATGTTCCTGCTGTAGTGTCCATAACGCTTGATACATGTATAACTAAACATGTATGTATTTACCACTCCTGGCATCAGAAGTAAATACTGTATGGATACAGTATATATGTTTACCAGTAGTTATCAAGTTTTATTTTGACACACCACACAGTGCACACACTGATGTTATGGGACACTACAATAATCAAAATATCAGCTGTGGCATTAGGATATTAAGGGTGTTTAATCAGAATTTTTGGTGGTGTAAAGTTTGAAAAGGTAATCGGCTGGAAAAAATTGCGCTAATTTAAAAAATATCAGTCTCATTGACACTTTTGAATATTCACATTTGGAAGACTTTGCCACTTTTTGTCCAAAAGTCATTATTATGGTCACTTTTGGGGCAATTTTTGTAATGTTAGTGTCCACTTTTTTGACGAGGATAGTTAGGTACCTTTCGAGAATATAAGCCCTAGGCTACAAACCTTGACCAATCTTTTCAAAAGAGAAGTCTCCTTGAAAGCCCGCCAAGTAGCCCACAGAGGCTATGAGCAGCTTGCCTAGGGGCGGGTGCACATCAAAGAAGAACATCCCTTTGAGGTAGAAGCTTGTGAACAGACCAAAATGAGTCTCGTCAAACCTGGAGTGTGTCAAGAATAATAATCGTTTCACGGAAATGTGTCCCATACAACATACTAATAGATTATTTTTCATATTAAAAAAAATAAATAAATAAATAACCACTTGATACCAATATTCCCAACATTTTCATCTTGTATCAGTTTATTAATATTTAAAAAAAAATCAATTGACAGTACGCTAGAAATATTCTTAGTGTGTCTTCTACGACACACTAGGACAAAGAGTGGCACATTTACAAAGTTTTTTAGTGACTCTCAAATAGTTCTGTATTCTTTTTTATTGGAAAAAATACTGTTTTATTTCACCATTTTCCTTCATAAGGTGGTGTATCTTTTTACACCAGGACTATTCTGACTAAAAGGAACATGAGAGCCTGAGAGGACAACATTTTTTCATGATGCATTTATAGAATCAGACCTGCCTCTGGACTGGAGTAAGTGGTCTCATATAGACTCTATTTTTAAATTTTGTTGACTGTAAGAAAACTCAGATAAGATTCAACCGGCGAAGAGAAAGTACGCACTACCGCGCATGCGTACTTTCTCTTCGCCATGTTGACTCGACAATGGAAGAATCGTCGGGGTAGGACGAAGAATCACCCCCTTTTTCCCATCGAAGACTTCTTAAAATTATAATTTCAAGTTCCCGGATAGATGCCCAGAGGAGTCAAGCAACCTAGTAAGTCAAAATTGTAATTACTCCCTTTGCATATTTTGAGATGATGTCGCCCAACCCGCTGTTAGTGTAAAATGTTTTTTGATGCACCACCCGAAGCTCCGACGCTTTCGGAGCTTCTCGGAGTTAGGAAAACATAGACTATGACACGTTTCACTTTCTATAAATCATGAGCTTTCATTTGACATACGTCTTTTTTTAATCAATGTCTAGAGGGGTCTACTTTAAAGAATTCCCCATAACCAGACAGTTATTTTTGTCTCTGCAAGGTTTATCTTTAATGCCAATAATGCCTGGCAGAAATCCGACATGGATCCCACAATTCTAGGCACAACAAAACAAAATCAAATTTGGAAAAATTAGACGTCAATTAGTTTAATAATAAATACTTACACAACTCCCCTCGGTTCTTCTAGCCTCCAAAATCGTGTAACAAAAGACACGAACGTAAGAACTGCAATCAAAGCATTGATATTCAATGTGAAAACGAATGACGATGGTGACGCTACTAAATTTCCCCACTTCCCTACACCTGTAAGACTTTCAGCCGTAACTGCCGGGGACGATTCATCTTTGGTCTGCTGATCCCCACTCACTCGAAGTTCCCCAGCGTTTTCCTCCTGTTTCACCCGTTTTCGGACTTTGTTTTCATTGTTTCCAGGCATTTTCAAGGTGTATAGGCCCTAGTACTGTAATGGAGATTTCGTCAAACGAAATCTTTAAAAGTAATATCTGCCTTAGAACTAACTGCAGTTTTGACCTGAAGAAGATGAAAATCTTCGTGCGTGCCGTTGATATTGTGTGTGTGTGTGGAATGATCGGACGTATATGTTACGGTACACATAACACGCGCATACAGTATACGTAAACTCTGCTTGTTATGATAAGGGTATACAAGACTAGGCGTTGTGGCGTTGTGGCGTGCGCCTGTAATCCAGCTAACAGTGGAAGTTACAAACTGATTCAGCCGAGAACGCAGGTTCGAAACTGAGTCACGTCTTTCGGATGGTGACGTTAAAAGTCGGTCCCCAGACGTAAATAATCATATCTGATTGATACACGTCTGCATGTAAAAACCCAAATACACACACACACACATACAAGACTAGGCCCCAACTCCCAAAGTATTAAACAGCTCGAGAAATAAAAGGAGGAATGAGATGTAGAAAAGGAGGAAACGGAGCATTTGACGAAAGACAACATTAATGTTGTTATCGGAGGCTGGCAAAATCGCCAGAGGCATGCAAATCGGCACTTTAATTTTTATGCAGAAATTCAAGGTGCCCCCAAAAGTTATATATTTCAAAATTTAAATCGTGTGATAATGACAAAAGCTAATGAGGATATACAAAACAAATACAAAATTATCAATTAGTTTAACCATGTTGATAAGTACAGTATGATCAATGTGAAAATATTATTTCAATCCAGAAAGAAGAATTTTTTGATATGGAAAACAATTTCAGTCCCTCTTTGGCAGAAAATGACAATTTGTATTGATTTTTTTCTCTAAAAATCACCCTCCTTCAGTTAAACGGGGACATGAACACCCTTAGAGGAAGGTGGGTGGGGAGGGGATCAGATTTTATCATTATCATTAATATTGTTATCATTACTATTACTATGTATTACTATCGATTTGATAGCTCTTCTATCACAACCAAAAGTCAGAATTACCCATAACAGTTATATATCTAAAATAAGCCACCAATTTTCTGATCACCAATAATTGTTGTCTTGGCAATTACTGTGTGGTATAGCTAGGTCAGCCCGCTGCCACTTTGCCTATATTCATGTATGATTGGTAAGAATTCATATCAAATATTGATCGATCTATCACATAGAATTACTTACAAGAAAAAAAAGTAATGAAGGTCATTGTGATAAGTTTTTATAGTCAAAAGTGACTACCAGGTATCCATTAATTTTCAGAAAGATGAAATATGAGCTAAATGATAGCAATTAATTTCACTAAGTAATGATGTTTAAGAAGGTAAATTATTACCGTTATCTTCACAATTGTCATTTCAATATTAGTTCATTTTGATGACGATAGTAATTATGAGAATAATGAAAAAATAAAAAAAGAATATAACTATTTTTATACTATAATTATTGTCAATATTATTGTTGTTGTAATCATTATAGAGCTAATCGTGGGAAACTTATTGCAAACCGTACATGGCAATCCAAAACAATTAATATTATCAAAATTTGAAGAAAACAGCTGAATCTTTTCCCCCTTCACTATCCATGCTATGCCCACTGGAGAGACAAATATGTACACAACTATATCTGAAAATCAATAATTCACAATTAAATCCAACTCTACGAAAGCATGTATATAATCAAAAGGCTGCAACATTTTTTCGTATTAGGTGCATTATTTGTTCTTTTATTCAAAAGATCTTAGTAATAAATATTTACAAGGTTTTGAAAACATACTCGTAGTAAACATTGTATCAATGTGACAGACAGACATGAACATTTCTCAAAATACTTCTACTGTGTGGGAATCTAGGTTTACATACAAAGAAAACATACCATTGCACAGTGTAAATTGTTACTTTTTTTCTTCTTCTAATGTCATCATATCTGAGTAGAAACATGACACTTTCGCATCAATGTTTGTGCAAATACTAAGAGTAAAAAAAGTGAATATGATCATCTTGACTAATAACGAGATAGACAACTGACTAAACAAGAAACAATTTGGGAAATTGATTATTCATGGGCTTTATGGCACATACAAAAAAAAAAATTGTGCTATAGCAAAGACAAGTAGAGTTTTAAAAACTTTTAATGCAAATTTGAGTTTTGTTGAATGGTGACAGGATCACATTACAAAACAAAACACTTCACAGACAGTGATTATATTGTTTTAATCAACAAAAACTATAACAAATGAACAAATTCAGCAGAAAATTACACTGGTTGAAAAAAAACATGGTCCGCACATGGGTAGCTTGATTCCCATTTCTTTCACCTTTAATGCATCTTGGGTAGCAGAAGTACTGAAATAAAAATGTCATCTGTCCATTGGGCTACAGCCTTAAATGACAGACAGGACATTAGACCGATAGCCCCAAAGAATGACCATGCTGCTATACCCTTAAAGCCACACTGTACTACTTGTAGCTACTTGCTCCCTCTATATAGAAAACTTCCCCAATCGGTACCTGTTGGTCCCCCATGATCCTCTTTTTCTGATGTTAATTGAGAGCTGAGTTAATGAGATAGCAACCTGTCAGTGACCTTGCTGTGTGGTCTACTCCCTTCTGGCTGAACCAGGACAGCCAAGTAGTTGTCAGAAGGCCCATGAGCAAAACAGCCAAGCCCACAAGACTCACATTCCATAAAACCGAAATGTCAGTTTCATGGGCTGTAGTTGACTGTGGGTGTTAAGGGCTGTTGGTCTTCTGGGATGTCCTAATTCTTTTAAATCATTATGACAACATCAAACACATATACGTGTAGTTTATCACATGTAGCTTGAACAATTAATTAGTATTAATCACTATTGCAAACTCAATATTTTCTCATTGTCTTTGAATGATAAAGGCCTTGCAATTAAATGAACAATATACACTCTCGGGCCTCTTGTATAAAAAGTCGCATTTTTAAGCAACTAAAAAAGTCCCAAAAATGCGGTCCTGATTGTTTGCCAATTGAGTTGCCTTCAAACGCAATTTTATTTTCCTGGAAATATGGTTTATCAAATGTATTTTTTTTAAAGCCCCTTGAAACATCTCAAACAAAATCCCTAAAAACCTAAACCTATATCTGTATCATAAATACCTACAATATTCATCTCCACAAAAAATTACAATATCATTTAGAATCTCCTAAAATCTGAAAAAGACTATGTATAACATCTTACTACATAAACACATAAAAATGAATTTTATGATATACATGTACATGTACTGTACATATATATATACACACTCCATTCATAAGAACTTCTTGCTATACTGTGTCTATGTGCGAAGAAATGATGAAATGGGTCGGCACTTGTGTACGGAAGATGTGAATATATCAAACACAAAACATTTACAGTGAGTTTCTACACCAAATATCTACAACCAGATTCACAATCCCACAAATACCAAACACCTGCTTTTCTGCTATACCACCATCCCCTAAGTAGCATATTTACTGAGCAATGATCCCAAATTCTTTTCATTTAATTTAAAAAATGTTTTACAAAGATTCAGTTTGGCAATTTAATAATAATAATAATTTAAGATTTGTATAGCGCACATATCTGCCTATAATGGCACTCAAGGTGCACAAAAAAGATTCACTATTAACATTTCAAATACAAACAATTAAACAAATTAAAGTTAACAAACTAATAATATATCAACAAATCAAAAAAACAAATGCAAATTACAGATTCAGTAAGAAATTGAAATGTTCATGAGAGTTAATCATATTTTTCCTTCATAAGGTAGGTCTTTAGATTCTTGTGGAATAGTTCAATTGTTTTGCTTAGTTTAATGTATGAAGGGAGTGCATTCCACAAACACGGGGCTGCTATTTACAGAGAAAGACCTGTCGCCCCAAGACCGCCTCTTTCGAGCTTCCTGGAACTGGTGGACATTTCCTGAATGCAAACCAAGTCTAGAGGATCTCTTCTCCTCTTTAAAAAAAAAATGATCACAGTAATTGGATTTTCTGGGATTATTTAAAGACTTTTATAACCCTATGATCGTTCACCTTTGATCTCTTACACCATCAAATCTTATCACTTCATCTTGTCATGATCATAGTATGCTCCTACTCATGTACCGGTAGTCTTAATAAATAGGGTGTAATTCTAATTCAAACCTTCATTTTTGACAAGTTCATATAACATGTAGGACATATAATATTTTACAATACCTCCATGAATCAAAATACTAGTATTACAACAAAAAACTAGCACAGCTCTTATGTCCACGGAATTTAAACAAACTAGGAGTACTTTTCTAGATATTAAAGTAAGAAAAAGCTTTGGAAATTATTCTATTCTTTAATGACATTACTCAGTATAAATTCACAGCTGCTTAAAGCATACATCAATTTGGTACTTTCTGAGTTGTAAATTCTATATTTTGGCCTTATTGGCTATCCCACAGAATAGTTTTTTAAAAACCCTTCACCTACCGGTATTTACAATAAATGAATTGTGAATTTTTGTGACCTAAAAAATATTTAATACTTGGCTTACTTTCTCCTCTGAGATGAAGAATACAAAATGCAACATATAGAGCAGCAAAATGAACCTATAACCTTCTTATAGCTATAATATTTCATACAAAATGAAAAGTTCCTTAAAAGTTATTTCATATGAAATCTACTCAACAGGAAATCCGTTTGGAAGGAACAATCTGCTGGCAACTTCTTTTTACTCTACCCAAGAAATAAAATTGTCATCGGGCAATTCCAAGCAAAACAGGGCTTGAACCGTAATAACTTTTTGATTTGTGTGATCATACCACATTCGGTGTCAAACAAAATGTTAACATCAAATTTTTGTAATCCGAATACAATTGAGACATTTTTACTCGCCTGGGCTGAATGCAGAAATTTGCATAATAATTTCCATAATCTCAAAGTCAACAATCGATACAAATTACAACAAACTTCACAGAAGAGAAAATTTTGTACTGATGTTGCTAAAATAGAAGTGATACACAAAGTTCAAACAACATAGGATCCAATAATAGCATTAATTTCTGTTCTCAGTGTTCTGAATAATTATTTACACTTTATTAATTTTTATTAATGACCAAAACAAATTCAGTGTACTTTCAAGTTATTTCCTAAAAAGGCCATTAATTTCTCATGAAAGTTTATACATAAATCAAAGTTACTGTTTACATAATTTTTAAATGAAGAAATATTTAGAATTTAATTATGATGACGATTAATTCTGTCATCTCCTACAAAATAATGTTACCGAATATCATCTGATATTGGATACTTTTTTGTGCAAACAAAAAATGGAAATTTGTATGTTTTTATTCAAATTTGAAATTAGATATAATCTTCCTATGATTGATTTTGATTTTGATATATTTTAGATTTTAGATCTACATGTACATGTTGATCTAGATGATATCATCAAGTAGATTTTTTTTTAATTTTGGAAATCAATAGAATACATATAAGAAATACATGAAACAATGAAATACATACAAAATCTAATAGAACTGAAGATTACTTGTTAAGTGTGATTTCTTAATGCTTGGAATTGCCCCATAGGAATTACATTCATACATCATAATACCTTACCATGCATGTATCCTTAAGTAGCATAACTTAAAATATTTCAGAAAAAAAAAACTTTTCAATTCACATTTGAAGAAATTGTAAATTACGAGAGGGCAGCGACATCAAATCTAAATTCATACAAATCTTCTCTCATATTGTCACAATATTTGCAATACTATGTATTACAGAAACAAACTTTTTGTATCAAGATAAATATTGCTTGAAGGCAATATATTGTATTAAGGCAAAATTCAATATCTTATATTAATTCAACTCGCAATGTTGTGATATTTCAAACATTATTGTCTTATCGTGCAGCCCTAATACTCAATTTATCTCAACAAATATCTACACATGTATGCTAGGTAATTTCACCATAAGAGTTGATTTATTACTCACAAGAGCAATTTCAAATCTGTTCAATTCTGAAATCTACCCTTAAGAAATATTTATACAATCTGATTAAAAACAACATAATCTCTTTGTTTCTACTTCGCAATTTTGTTGTTGTTCTGGAAAGAGAGTCAACAAGGAAGTAAATACAGTGGAAACTCATTATAACGAGGACAATGGGACCATGTAAATTACCTGTTAAATATATCAGAGTTCTTTATGATAAGTTCCACTCTAGTAAAAAGTCAGACATACACACTTACAGAAACAAGACATCTCTGGAATGGGCTAGAAAAATTGTTTGTATACCTCGTCTTAAAACACAATGGACACTGAGATTGCACTCTCCGGATATAAGGCTTCATACACTGCAGAGGGGAAAAAGAGGGAGAGAGAGAGAGAGAGATAAGTGTGTGGGAGGGGGGCAGACAGAGACAGAGGAAGAGTTGAGTGAGAGGAAAGGAGGAGACAGATGGAAAGAGAAGGAAAGAAAAAATGAATAAATGAGGGGGTGAGAGAGAAAGAGATACAATGTTCATTAAAATATAATTTGGTATACCATACAACTATAATGAGTTTTGTCTGGGGCTGTCTTATTTTCAAGATATCTGTTTACAATGACAGTCCTTCTTCCACAAATAATTTTATAATGTTTGATGAAATCTAATATTTATTACAGTTTATCAAGTTGTTTTTTTAAAATAACAATTGTTATATATATTTGCATATTTATGATTCACTGTCAGAAAAATGCTTATTGTATTTCATATTACTATTGTTATCGAAAAACTGTGTACTAATATATGAATGCAGAAGAAAATCTAATCAAATCAAATCAAATCAAACTAGAAATTCTTCAGACATGTCTCTTCAGCCAAGTATCAATAGTGGCCACTTTTACAGTAACAAACTTTATAATGAAATGCAACAATGTAATGTTGTGATGCAACTTATTCAGAGCATGAAACTGATAAATCTAGACCCACATTTTTCAACTGTATTTTTAGTGTCAAATGTCACAGCACCCTTTTATGAAATTAAAGTTTTGCATCACCTATGTTATCCTAAGTGCTTTAATTTCTTTTCCTTCATCATAATGTCTTCAGTGAGCCATAATTTGGTGGACATTTTGACAGTTAATGCCTATACATTGTAGATTACATTGTAATTCTAGCTTTCGCCAATGCCCCCAAATGCCCGGATGTGCGGCTCTTGGATGTAATTTTGTAATGTCCAAATGCCGCTAACAGATTTTGCGATCGTGCAGTGATTTCAAGCTGGTCTTCCCTTCGGAGCAAAAAAAGACACTGAAAATAATTGGGAAATCAGCTATTAGGATCGTTTAAGCCGTACAGAAGAATTGAGGTTTTGAAATAATCAAAGTGAAAAAGAATCAACTACTAAAAATCATTTGCACTGCACGCAGATTGGGAGGATAAGCTAGTTACAAAAACAAAAACAAAAAAAAGGAGAAAAAAAAAATTCACAACAAAATAAATGATAAAGTAGCACAAAACTGTGCAATCGCCCAACCCTGACAAATGCCATAAAAGTTTGGTTCAAACTTTAAGCTAGTTCTTGTCACATTTCTAATGACAGCATTATATTGCTATTATATTGCTACTATGACATTCTTCCAAAGGGAGGTGCTTAATAGGAGACAGACAAAAATTAATGAGATTTTAGTACACAAAAAAAAAGAGATGTTCATGACTACGTCACAACCCACTGACCACACTGCTATTTTGCCATCTAGTGATTTTATATTTCAAACACCCAGAACTTTCTCACTATTGGTTCAATTTATTCAAACTTTGGCCTACTTGTTTCTCTCAATTCTCTCCTTTCTTGCAAATGAAATTATCATAAAGGTAAAGGTTGGATTGCTATTTTAGAAATCAGAGCACTGAATCCATACATCTCTTTCAACCTTCTACAGTGAAGCTTCAAACGAATGCACACAATTAAAGTACAGCTTCACTACTGTCCTTTGGCAAGACATTGATCTACATTTGCCACACTCAACCCAGGTGATGTAAATGGGTACCTGGCAGGAATTAATTCTTTGAAATGCTACAGTTAAAGCCAGAGTAAAAATCTCCAAGTTTGGAAGCGCTTAGTGATTTTAATAAGCGCTTTATAAAAACTGAGTATTATTATTATTATTATTGCCAACTTAAGCCTTGATTACATATGCTGCAAAATCCATGGTTTCCGGCTGAGGCAATATAGAATGTCATGAAAGCATAATATGCTTTACAGTCATCCAAACTTATATAAGTTGGTACGCACAATACCTTTTTGCATGTAGTTAATTTTTTCATCCCCACTTGTCTTTTGATTTCCCCGTTTAAATTATTTATTCTTGCAAAATATTAATGTAATTTGGTAGTGGTGGTTGCTATTTTACCTGACTGCTAAGAAAGCATAAATGCTTGTAAGTAAGCAACCGGACGGCCAACGGCTTTAGAGAGACCTGGTAATAAGGAATAATGCCTTAACCAAAGGGCACTAGCGCATGGACTTGGTTTCGAACCTGGGTCACCGGATTTCGAGACCACTGCTCTACCCACTGAGCTATCACAACCTATTATTTCCCTGATTTGTAAAATTATATGCCAGGCACTGTGTTGTGTATTTTTGCTTCTTCTGTATTGTTGTATTTTGTCATGTGCCTGTAATCTGGTACTAATGTTGATCTTTTAATTATATATCTTCTTCAGGTTGCCAATTCATATGGGTCAATCCCTTTTTCTCTCAGCTACCTGCCAAGCAACTCTTATATTGTTGTACCAATGTATACACATGTATTCTAGTCTTTTCATGTAACGATTTATAGTTCTATGTATCTATATCACTTCTTTAATTGCTTCAGTAAAATAAAATTGAATTGAATACATAATATAGTTATAATACAAAAAACTGCATGGTTTACCATGGCAGGTGAGAATAGTCCTACATGTACATGAGTAGTGCACTCAACCATTCTAGGGAAATTCCCACATTGACCTGCCTTTCTTTTTATTCCATCAAATGATTTGGATTTACCCATTTTGTTTTCTAGGTCAATTAAGAAAAGCCATGGGGAATTAAGGAAAACAGAAGCAGAATAGTAGCAATAGGTGGAATCAATACAAATGTTGTTTTCTCAAGAATTTTCTTGACCTGCCTTTCTTCTTAATCCATCAAATGATTTGGATTTACCCATTTTGTTTTCTAGGTCAATTAAGAAAAGCCATGGGGAATTAAGGAAAATAGAAGCAGAATAGTAGCAATAGGTGGAATCAATACAAATGTTGTTTTCTCAAGAATTTTCTTGACCTGCCTTTCTTCTTAATCCATCAAATGATTTGGATTTACCCATTTTGTTTTCTAGGTCAATTAAGAAAAGCCATGGGGAATTAAGGAAAACAGAAGCAGCATAAAAGCAATTTTTTCCATTTATGTCTATTTATTTATGTCTATTTTGTAATGCATCTACCAGCCTTAGCTTTCACCACTCCTCTGTACTTTCTCATGCAAGCAAGCAAGCGATTCTTCACAGTTTCTTGCAGTCTGTCCCCTCACAATCAAATACATACAGTGAGTAACTCACCTTTGCTATGGTGTATTGACTGCTGTGAGGTTCCGAGGGTGATACCCAATCTCATCAGTAGCCACGTAGCTGGGTGGGGCTCTGGCTAGGGGTCCCCTGGTGGCTGCATCGCTATGCTGGGGGGTGGCGGGGACAGAAGACCGGTGGTAAGTGGTCTTGTTGTGGTCGTCGACCGGGGGTGGGGTGGAGGCATGGTTCTTGACGTGTACGACCTTGGTATCCACGACCTCACAGTCGATCTGCATCATGGAGATGTGATCCTTCGGCGTGTTCCACATAGACTCTACAGACATCAACCAAGTTAAATATGTTCAGCAAAATGTGAGAGAATCATGATCATTCCACTTATACCAAGTTAAAACACTTGTTATTAAGAAATACAGATAAAATATCTAAAATATATTTTCAATGAAATGACCTTTTGACCTATGATTTTAATAATGGAGTGTGTTCCACATTGACTCAGAAATCAAACAGAACTGGACCAGTAACATAGGTAACATGTTTACATGACCTTGTGCCCTTTTATTTTCATGACTCTAATGTATATGATCCCTATATATCATTATTGTCTTATGTGTGTAATTGTTTTATTATATGTTGCACTTTTTAAAATCAATAAAACATACTTTTAAAAATGAGAAAAAAATCTATGTAAATAATATTTACTCAATTTAACAGTAACTTCCTTTTGTCCAATGATAATAATAATAATAATAATAATAATAATATGTCTTGTTTACCCAGGGTAGCTTCATCAGTATTCATACTGTTCTCCCTGAGGGCCCTGCAATCATATTATTGATAATGCAGTTATGACAGTAGTAATCTTATGGGAGAAACATCTTACCATTAGCTGTGACTGTTGGCATGACAAGAGACATCTTAGGTCTGTGGGTGTTGTTGTGAGTGGTGGCAGGCAACAGCAGATGATCCTGAAAATATATGTTGATAAATAGTCAGGGAAATAAAGTCAAATGACGAAGAAAATGAAAGTGTCTGATAGCGTGTCAGATGAACAAGCATCATCCGGAAGCTCCGGGATGATGGTAGGGGCAGAGCGCAGTGAAAGCGACATCTCTCCACTTTACACATTTACTGACTATATCATACGATTTTAATATACTTACCAAGTAAATTAAAGAAAAATTATAAGTGTTTATTATTTTTATAAGTAAATCATATGAAAATGTATCAGACATTTTAAGACAAAACACAGTGGACCGTCTCGTGTACATAATCTATTACATTAAATAACCTCTTCATTATAAAATAAAACAATTTGTTTTAAAGTCATAATGAATGCAACAAATGTCATCAATGATAAACAGTGAAGATGTTATTTGTAAAGCTTTGTGTGTAGCATTTAAATAAGGATCATACACAACTAGGCGTTGTGGCGTGCGCCTGTAATCTTTGTGTGTACACATTTTAATAAGGATCATAATGGTATGGATTTGTTTACATAAATTAATGAACTCGCTAATTCAGAGCATGCTGAGCTAAAAATTGAACAGCAGCAAGTCCACCCAAACATTAAACTGAAATAGCAGAAAAATAAAGAAAGCAAATATCTTCCTAAGGCCGTTAAGTGACAAACCATACACAATTACCATTCCCCAAATAGTATAGACATATCTTATTTGTTTTTTTCTCAAAATTTGTTAACTGAAATTAGATTGTAATTAGTCTAAAAAAATCTCAGCTCATTAAGCTTGTTCTGATAGATAATATCACATTCTTTTTCTAAACACTTTTGACATTTAAAAAAAAATGGGTCAAGGAATCTGAAATGTCTTGGAGATTGTTTTCCATTTACTGGCTGTAAAAATATGAACACATCAATAAATGGATGACTAATTACATTTTTCCAGGGAAAACTGGAGTACTCCAAAGAAAATTGTCAAGAAAGTCCATCATAAATGTTGAATTGATTTATTATATAGATTTTCTTCAACATTTGTGAAATTTTTGACAAGTTGAGATCAGCTTAAAAGAATTTAAATTTGAATTTCTTAATTCAGTTTCCAAAAATAGAAATTGAAGATTGTGTTGTTTCGTTGTAGAACAAACATGTATAAAAACATGCAATCCATATTATATCTTGAGCACAGCCACAAGAGAGAAGAAAATTGACTATATCACAATCAACTGAGCGTATTTCATATTCACATAAAAGATAGAAGGTAACATAGATTCAAACCAAATTGGCATATGTTCTTTTTCTTTCCAACATTCTTCCATGTTTTTTAGATTTTTCTTAATCGTACAATTCAACCGATAAAAAGGTGAATTCCGTATATTTTCTAGGATTTGTATGGTTTATTCAATCATTGTCATTATTAGAGCCTTAAAATACATATAAAACATAGGAAGAGGGTAAGTATTCTTCTTAAAAAAATAGTTTTCAATTCAACATAATGAGAATAATTACATTGCTGAAAGACACCACGTAGAACGTATCATCCCTCCTATTAAGTGCCTCCAGCAGATTGTCGTACGTCCTCTGGAAAAAGTGATCATAGAGTTGTAGCGCCCTCTCATCTGACTCCACATGAAGCGCTGGACCAGAACGGAAGCGTCTGTATTGGGGCTGACCGCGCTTTTTCTTTTTCTTCTGAAATGCGGAAAATAGAGAAGAAAAAAAAGACTGGCAAATTAAGAAATTTGGGGGGTACGTGGGGGATATCAGTAAAGAAACAGGTATAAAAATTTGGGTTGACAAAATTAAAATATATGTATCACCCAAACAAAGTAACTGCTTTTTTCCCTCCTAGGCCTCGAATTAGCTGCAGCCATCAATGCCCCTCCAATTGTAACTTGTACTAAAGACCGTAAAAAATGCCCCTTTCCAATTTGGCCGTAGCACCCCTTTCCCCCAAAGGATGATTTTTTTTTTCACTGTGCCCATTTCCCTCGCTCCAAACTCTATGGAGTATGTAACATTTCCTTTGCTTTGACCTTGGACATAGACTTAGGCGAACAAGAATAATCACTATTATTGCCCACTTCACTTAACCCTTACTGTACTGGGCTATTTCGAGCACTCTCTGACGGGGGGGGGGGGCCTGGGAGGCCCCCCCCCCCCTATGATCTCGGCCATTGAATGTCCGATGAACGCGAAAATTTGCATGTTTGTAGATATTTACGTAAGGAACAAGATGGTATCATTAGTTTTTTCCTAATATGCAAATTTTTGTCGTTATAGCCTAATTAATTATGCAAAAAGCTAATTTTATGAATATTACAGAAAACTCTACATATTTGTCCGTAGACTTGTAAAGAATCTTGAAAATGTATTGAATAAATTTTTCCTTTAACTCAAATTCATGAGGTTTCATTATTTTTATGATTTTTGAAAATGCATAGGTTAATTTGCATAAATTATGAATACGCATTCATGAATATCAAATCTGGAAATATATATAGGGAACTAGAATCATTACAAAAATTGTCAGACTTCACTTTTTTAATGTTAATTGAAACCCATTATTCAAATGAAACTTCTTTTCTAACACAAAATAGTTATTTGATGTAATTATTAATGATAATTTATGCAAATTTGATGCGATTTTCAACTATTTATTTTCTTATGTATTTTATTGTTTTTTATTTCTTATTATATCTATTGTTTTATTTCTGATGTATTCTTTTGTTCTGAAATACATCAAGTTACTTTGAGAAACATATAAAAGCAATTTGATATCAATTCATATCTTCACATTTCTGCTTGTACATGAATATATGCAATTATAGCACTTTTTTTATGACATGCGCATACTAATTGTTATGTAACACCTTACAGGTATATCCGATTTTGACGAAAATGGTATCAAAATGTGCGTAAGACTTGAGGGAAAAAAGTCATAAAATGACAATTCAAAATTTCGAGCGGTTGCGGCGCGATCTCCAAAAATGTCGAGGGGGGGGGCCTCCCAGGCCCCCCCCCCCCCCCCCAGTACAGTAAGGGTTAATTTTTGAAACAGGAAAACTAATAAGGGCAAGAGAGGACAGTACCCCCCCCCCCCCTTAAATTGGTGCCTGCCCACCCATGTGCTTTGACCAACTAATACCTTCTTTCGTAGTTCTTCTACTTTCTTGGACTTCTTCTGCTCTACAGTTTGTTTTTTAGCCCAGAACTGAAGGACATCTGTCAGCCTGTCATAAGAAATGAAAAATGAAAAGAAAGCAAAATAAATGATTGGTTGATTAATATGCCATTACTACTAATAAAAAAAATGTAGATTTGCATTCGCTAAGGTATTTGGCAAAGCTACCTGATCAAAATGCATGTGAGCATGTCAATTTAAGCCAGTCGCATATATTGAATAAAAAATCCCACCTTATCTTTATAGATTTACATGTGTTCATCCTCTGAACAAGTTGATCTCTGTAAGATGTTCCTACATCATCATCATAATTATCATAGTCATCATCAATCAATTTATCATGATCATCATGTTCATCACCTTGTCCATAATCTTCATTATCATCTTCATTGTCATTAAAAAAATTAACATTTTAAGACAGAGCACCTCATACTTGTTCAATACTATACATGTATCGTTTCAATTCAATTCACCTGATGGTGTCTGTAATATTCATCTGATGGGGGCAAGACGTGTTGCCCTGAGGCAGCAGATAGCGAATCTCCTTCATGGTTGCTATGGCAACTTCTGAAGCCGACTGGTTGGCGATGCTCTCCCACAGATGAACATCTTCCATGATGTCGTGTATGGAGGCGTGTCTGAGAATGGCTGGATTTGATTGGCTGTAGAGCTTTGAGGCATTCTCATTGGTTGATTCTGAGAAGCTAAGTAGCGCACGACCCGCATGACTACCCGTCTGAAAGTCGGAGGCTACACCGCCATTTTGATTGAAGAGGCTAGATGGGAGAAAGTGATCACAGCTTGTTTACTCCACCACAAATGGAAAAAGATGAAAGTATTCAATGCTACATAACAGGTATGAGACAGAGAAAATCTGAGAAAAAGAGGAACACTGTGCGGGGGGTCGAACCAACGCGACAAGGGTGTCATTAGCTTAACTCTGCAAGTCCACTATCAACGAGAATCGGGATTTGGAATGCACAGTCAATGATGAACAAACCAACGTTCGTTGGTGTCTCCTTAGATCAAGATTAATGTATCTTGATCTAAGGAGTAGTTGCTACAACCGGCGGTATCAGACAAACCAACGGAAGTCTGTGACTTTGTTATATCTATATGATATTATATGATTTCCTTGCTATCACGGAAGCTTGGTTATTGGGCGATCATCGACACTGTCCAACCATCGCAACAATTCAGAATACCCTTCAGGACTACCGCCTGTTCAAATTACAGCAAAAGGAAAGAAGGGAGGCGGAATATGTGTCCTTCTGCGTGATCAGTACATCTGCGAATCCAGACTGCATCATTTGAGTGTTTGGAGGTAACAGTCAAATCCACTGGCCAGGAAACCCTGTCAATGGTTGTCATCTACAGGCCACCAGGCACACAGAAGTGCCTCCCCTCAAATAGCTTTTCATCAGAATTTTCACAACTTCTTGAAACAGTCAACTTGTTGACAAGCCATGTTGATATCTGCGGTGATTTCAACATCCACATGAAAGACCCTACAAAGATGAATCTCAAACGTCTATGAAAAACAAAGTGCAATGGTTAAAACCAGATATTTGTTTTTCCAAAGCTTCCAATTAAATGGAAGATTACAAATTATAATTTTATACCACATTACGATAAAGGAAGCTTCAAAAGTGTATCTATCAACAACAAAAATACAAAAAAATGAACAGATGTTTTGTATATGTGTAAACATCAAACTCGCCAGAGAATAGGTTGCACAATTGACATGATTTTAAGCTTTACTGATTTCAATTCATATTACCTCAACGGAGAAAGGTTGAATCCAATGATTAGAACTATTCCTAGTAGATAGGTAGCTGTCCTACCAGGCGACGACAAAAGAGACGAATGCATTTTCTTAAGAGTTGTATTCTGTGAAAAGGCAGGTAACAAGAAGAAAAGCAGAGATAGTCATAAAGCAGGGCTTGGCAAATAAATTACAGTGTAGAGGGCAAGTTGTCTGATTGGGACCTGGGGGGTGTTTCATGAAGATCCTAAATTGAATTACCTCTAAGTTGGAGCTGTTAGCATCTTTGAAAATATTTTTGTAAAAGTTATTTTAAAAGGCATAAAATGTTGCTTCAAATCAATCACATTTTCTATTATCAAGGAGATTTCATGTTCTTGACTTGGAATTTATGAAAAGTCTAAAATATTTGAATTTTTGCTTTTTAATATAAATTATTTTAAGGCTACAAATGGCTCTCCATAATGTATAAGTCCAACTTAGAGTTAAGTTCGACTTCAAAGGATCTTTGTGAAACACCCCCCAGAAGGGTGAGCTAATGCCCTTCTGGCTTTGAAGATACCAAATTTACTTCTTGACTTCAGAATTCTCTGTCGGTTTTAACAATCGTTGCATGAATACACACAAGGACCCCCTGGTTTTAAAAAGAATCTCATGAAAATACACAACTACCATTACAGAAAACAAAGAGTGGAAACACAATTTCCGGAAGAGAAATATGGTTGAATTATAAGCAACTTCTATATCATAACGCAAAAATCAGATATTTCTCTTGGACTTCTCTCCAAAAGTTGTTCTTTTCTCAACCAATTTTCACCAACTGGGTTCTAAGGTAGCTAAAGAGTATGTCTTGCAAAAAATCTATAATAGAGAAAATTTGTAACTTACATGTACAACAGAGAAATTTACAATGTACAGTAATCAAAGAGAAAATTATTTCTGAATTAAAAAACAACAACATAGGAATTATCATCCTTGTTTTATGATTCAGATTTGATCAAAGTGTAGAAGTTAGAATGAGAGTAATAATACTATTGCAATATGAGATTTGTAAGGTGCTAAATCCACATACATAATATGGTTAGAATAAATGGATAAAGGTCATTACAATACATATTTAAAAAAACGTTTCCAACAGCTATTGAAAATCATAAAATTAACTCTTGAAGGGCATCTTTCCTGTCAACAAGCTCAACCTAATCAAAGATTTGAATTCAAAACCTACCAAATCAAGACAAGGTTCCTTAGATTTCCGGTTTCTGATTTACTTCTAATTGACTTTGATAAGCCCCCCCCCCCCCCCCCCCCTCCCCCGTCAAATATGAATCATTACAAAAAAACAGAAGCAATCACTTGAGTGATCTACAGTTGTACGCCTGGTTTGAAATAGCAAAATTCATCTTATAGCTAGTATACCAAAGCCATATTGTTGACCAACAGGTGATGATTTTTTTTCTTTCTAGTCTGTATGTCGCATATCAAAATGTCAAGACACAGAAATTTGAACAAGAATCTGGGTCCACTTTGAATGTGAGCCAATACAGGTAACTGACAAGCCATGAATAAATGAAGATAAGTCTTTAAATCAAGATAGTTCCAAGAACTTGTCTCAGGATTATTACCCCTAGACAATTACCCCCCCCCCCCCCCCCCAGAAAATTGCCCCCCTAAACAATCCCTTGAAGACAACCACTCCCCGAGACCCATAACCCCCAGGAAAACTACCCCATGTAAAATTAACCCGAGGACCATCACCCCCACCCCTGAAAAAATTAGCCCCCCCCCCCCTTTTCATTAAAGGCATCGTTTAACAATGTTAAAATTGAGATGCATGGCCCTACGTGTTATCAGTGTCTGTGATATGGTGTAATATTGAAGCCCTAAAATAATTCAAAATGATCAAGAAGTGCCTCTAAAAAGTAAAAATCTTTGAGTGACCGGTTTTACCATACTGATTTTCCCCAATAGACTATAGTGTTATGAAAACTGTTAGGAAAATGCACAAATTGATTTCGATTTCCAATCATAAATATCTTTATAATCCGACAGGCGGTTGGCTTGTAAAAGACATGGGGTTCCTGACTGACCTAAAGGTTTACAATTATTTTTGCAGCATGAGCTAAATCCAGGAGTTTGAGACAAAGTTACCCTTTAAAGCGAAAGTACACAGGGAATGGGGGGGGGGGGGGTATTTGTCCAGCTGGTTATTGGCTGGGGGTTGAATGTCCAGGGGGTAATTGTCCTAAAACCCGAAGTACTAAATACCCCACAAGAAATATTTCTTCTTTTCTCTTTTGAACAGTGATATCAAAGCGTTTTTTATCACAATCCCCCTAAGTTACGTAGAGAACAACTGTCGCCGAAGCTTGTGTCAAACAACCAATAGCTTACCTCCTTTACCAAAGTTTCCATCTTACTTCTAAGGGAATGGTTTTCTGATCTCAACCTCCGAATTTCTTTCTCCAAGATCTGTGCCTTGCATTCCAACTCTTGTACATACTGAAAGAAAATATATGAAGAGAGAAAGAATGAGAGAGCGAGAACATGTGTAAGAGAAAAGAAGATGGGAGGCAGTGCAAGAGAAAGTGAGAGAAAAAGAGAAGGAGGGGAGAGACAGAGAAAGAGAGAGAGAGAGAGAGAGAGAGAGAGAAAGAATGAGAGAGTGAGAACATGTGTAAGAGAAAAGAAGATGGGAGGCAGTGCAAGAGAAAGTGAGAGAAAAAGAGAAGGAGAGGAGAGACAGAGAAGGAGAGGAGAGACAGAGAAAGAGAGAGAGAAAGAATGAGAGAGTGAGAACATGTGTAAGAGAAAGAGATGCACAGGAAAATGTACATAAACATGTTAATACATGAGTAAGGATTTCAAGAGACACATGGTGACATGAAGAGACAGAGTAAAAGAGATAATAGGAGACATGTGGTTGGATGGAATGATTATTAAGAGCACAGATTAGTGCAAAAACAGTTTAAAAACAATTATTAAAGAAATCAACTTAAGAAAATTAGAACATAAAATTTCAATACAATGGTCTCATATGAAATAAACTAGCAATTTTTAAAATTCAAGTTTGATCGTAATCCATTACAGGTTTCACAGAATATTGTGATTACAAGTTTTTTTTTTCATAACGCGTCACAAAAAATTAACCTCTTCTTGCCCACCGCTGAGGTAGCACTCTCCCCCGAACAAAAAGGGCCAACACTTCCGAGGCTAATTTGCATTCTAATTGGCATTAGAGTGGCATTTATGAAAAAGATAAGTAAAGCAAAATAAAGTACAAGTACCCATCCGCGCCCACAGGCATTTGCACTAGTTTGCAAGGGCGAAATGCAGGTTTTCTGTAAAAACCCGCGGGTAACCAGCGCGCATATGGGTACTTGACCCTCGATCTCTACTGTAGTTAAACGCTATCAGCCACTATTGTTAAAATTGGCTGATTGGTGTATATTGTTTTAGTTTTTTGCAAATACTTTGATCCCAATAACAACACGTTTTACATTATTAAACCTTGGGGCTCTGATATGCAGTGAAACTGTATTTCTTTATTAGAAGTATTGCAACATGTACATGTGCTTTATTAGAAAACATCCATTGGTAAAACCCAACCCCTTTGCCACATTAACAAATGACACTGTTAAATGTCTTTAAAAATTGCAGATGCAAAAGTAACTAGATGGAACTTCGACTGCGCGAAGTTGAAAATGATGCCTCCGTCATAGAACAATTTTCCAAACCAAAGCAGAAGAAATTTTTTTTAAATTCAAGTTCAATTGTAATCCATTAACATGTTCTCAGAATATCGTGATTACAAGCAATTTCTCATATACATATAAGACCCTTTGATCTTTGACCTCATGACCCTAAAATCTACTCAGTTCATTGGCTCTGCAAGATGTCCTGAGTTAAATAGTAATCCATCAGTCAGTTCTAATGAGAATGCGTTCACAAGCTATTTTTGCATACATAATGAGCCCATGACCTTTGACCTTTGACCTTATGAACCAAGAATCTACTCAGTTTATTGGCTCTGCAAGATACATAAATGAAGTTTGGCAGGAATCCATCAATCTGTTCTAATGATTGTACGATCACAAGCTATTTTTTGCATACATAATGTGCCCTGTGACCTTTGACCTCGTGACCCCAAAATCTAATCAGTTCATCGGCTCTGCAGGTAACATACACGACCTAAGTTTGGAAGAAATCCATCAATCGGTTCTTGAGATAACGCGATCACAAGCTGTTTTTGCATACATAATGAGCCCTGTGACCTTTGGCCTTTGACCTGGTGATCCCAAAATCTAATCAGTTCATTGGCTCTGCAAGATACATACATGACCAAAGTTTGGCAGGAATACATCAATCGGTTCTTCAGATAACGCGATCACGAGAACGGGACGTACGTACGTACGGACGGACAGACGTACGGACGGACAACCCGAAAACATAATGCCTCCGGCTACTTCGTAACGGAGGCATAAAAACTGTTTTACATATAAATGAATGGCTAGAGGGATGAGAGAAGAGTATATCAAGCACACCCCCTCCCTCCCAATTTAACCCTTACTGTACTGGGCTATTTTGAGCACCTCCTGACTGAGGCGGGGGGGGGGGCCTTGGAGGCCCCCCCCCCCCATGATCTCGGCCGTCGGATGTCTGATGAACACGAAAATTTGCATGTTTGTAGATATTTACGTAACGAACAAGATGGTGTAATTAGTTTTTTGCGAGTATGCAATTTTTTGTCGTTATAGCCTAATTAATTATGCAAAATGCTAATTTTATGCATTTTACAGAAAACGTGTCAAACTCCTCTTTTTGAATGTTGAAACTCATTATTCATATGAAACTTCTTTTCTAACACAAAATATTTATTTTGATGTAATTAATAATGATAATTTATGCAAATTTGATGCGATTTTCAAATATTTATTTTCTTATGTATTTTATTGTTTTTTTATTTCTTATTATATCTATTGTTTTTATTTCTTATGTATTCTTTTGTTCTGGAATACATCAAGTTACTTTGAGAAACATATAAAAGCAATTCGATATAACTTCATATCACCCACTTAGGAAGGAATACATCTAAACCTGTATTCACATTTCTGCTTGTACATGAATATATGCAATTCTCGCTACCCCAAATAGCGATTCTGCCGAGATCCGGGGAAAATCCTGAAAACGCGCATTGCATTATGGGATAGCTTTTCGACATTACAGCTTCCTGTGCAGGCGCTATATTACTAGGCGCGATAGCGCAAACGTAAAACGCCGTCGCCACACAACGTGTATGCACCGAATATGTCGTCTGCTCGGTCTTGTTTTTTTTTCGCAAATATTTCAACGTTTATTTGAACATTTCATTCGTTGTTTTTTGCGTCTTTTGACATCAGTGACGATGGTTTTCTTTTGTGAGGCTGCACAGTGCTGGGCTCATGATTCCAAGCGTAAGAACCCTGATTATAGCGTGCGTGAAAACTCTGCACAGCGAACACAGGCGCTAGCGCCAGCGGGATGGGACTCTATACCGGAAGTTGTAGTGACGACCCGAGAGAGTGAAAATTACCTCGTCTCGCGAATTTCGAGATTTTCGTACCTATTTAGGGTAGCGAGAATTATAGCATATTTTTGATGACATGCGCATACTAATTGTTATGTAACACCTCACAGGTATATCCGATTGCGACGAAAATGGTGTCAAAACGTGCGTAAGACTTGAGGGGAAAAAGTCATGAAACGACAATTCCCAATTTCAAGCGGTTGCGGCGCAATCTCCGAAAATGTCGAGTACAGTAAGGGTTAAGGTTCACTCTAAAAAAAAAAAGAATTAAAAAGCTGATGTTGATTCTTACCTCCTTTTTCTTCTTCCTTGATAAGCACGCAGACTCTCTATTTTTTATCATTCTTTGCTGCCTCTTCCATGCTTTTACCTGAAATGAAATAACAAAGTTCACTAGCAGTATGGAGACATATTAAAAACAAGATGAATGCGACTACATCTCCAACATGCCTCAGCCCTTATGTATATTCATTGATCAATGATCCTGTGACAGTATCTGATCACACAAACTCAAACTCTTTTCATTTCTTTTCACGCTAACACATATATACACTTGAATCTAGTTTAGCCAATATTTGGTTCAATCTTTATTAAGTTATAACAGTAAAAAGACAGTTTCTGTGAATTTTAGCACTTTCTAGACCCTGTAATCTTCCACCTTTGGCCCTTACACAAGTTCAAATGAGCTGCATGCTCATACATACATATACTTCATCCAAGTTCGTTATGAATAATTTCCCATTATTATTATCATCATCATAGCTAATCCCTATGACTTACATCAACATTAGGAGGGCAAGGCTGAGTGACTACTTGTACAGGTTGTGTGGGTGATGGAATGTTGTTGTGAGCGGATACCGGTATAATCTTGGCCTGTTTGGCTAGTGGAGGGGCACACGAACCACGCCCTGTTGCTAACGGCGATGGCGAACTCTGTTTGACAATGATTGTTGGTCTCACAGCTGCTTTAGGGGAAGAAACCATAAATACAATTTTCATCAAAGACATGTGGCTAAAAAGAACAAAATAATGTAAATACATGTCGCTGCAATCAAGCCAAGTGACAAATTGAGAACTTGTAAAGACACATTTAAAGACTGACAGAACCATTATAACCTTCCTTTCATAGTTTGTTTAATACAGAACAAGATACTCATAACAGGGCAATATAGAAACTCAATAGTATCATACGCTTGGGTCAACTTTGGTAGAGAATCTGTAAATCAGAAAAAAAGGTCAAATATTCTTATTAGAAGTGGGTGGATAGCATGATACGTACAATACCACGGGACTAAAAAAAGTAATTTTTTTTTATGACAAGTGGATTTAATAGAATATACAAAAGAGGCTTACCTAGAACAGAGATTTAAAAAAAATTCTTCTATTGTTATCATTATTTTCACATTTACAAGCACATCTTTACATCTAAGATTCTACAGGCGCAGGTTAGCACCAAATGCATATTTGTTTATTGTTGTTACATTTTACTGCCTTACTTGACAGGGATCATATACAAAAAAATAGAGGTAGAAAGAAGGAGGGAGAGAGAGAGAGGAGGAGAGAGAAAGCAAGAAAAGTCAAGAGGGCAAGAGAAGACGGCGTGACATGGTGAGAGGTGAGAGAGGAGGAAAGGAGAGTGAACCAAATATTTAAATGTTATGAGATCATTACCTGGTATTTGTTTAATAGTAACTGTTGGCTTAGTAGGTGAGTGAATGGATGTTTTTGTAGCCACCGGTTCCAGCTTTGGAGCCAGGGGTAACTTGATGGCACCATTGGTAGGCTTGGGGGCAATGGCGACGCCCTTCTTGGCACCATTGATGACCCCACTGGCGAGGGACTTGGTGACTTTGTTTGGCAAGTTTCCATTGGCGATAGTGAAGAAAGTGTGCTGCCCACCAATGGGTGGGGATGGGGAGTCTGTGCTGGAATCACGGAGTGGGGTAAGGGGTGGGGATTCCAGCTTGATGTGGACATGGGCTTGGTTACCATTCTGTAAAGTCTGAAACAATTATAAAAATAATAATGATAATAATAATAATAATATTCCGTGTTTATATAGTGCTCAATACATCGATCCAACGATGTGCCTAAGCGCTTTACAGATATATTATTACCCCGGTCATCGGATTCAGGCTTACCCGCACACAATGTTTGCACATTTTCCACTCCCTGGGAGCATTCAAGCCAGTCGCAATTTTACAAGCGCACACTTGCTCGTCTAACCACATAAACTTTCGCATCCTATCGGGTACCCATTTAACACCTGGGTGGAGAGTAGCAAGTGCAGGTAAATATCTTGTTAATGGATATTAGTGCCGTGTCGGGATTCGAACCCTTGACCTTCGCATCTCCAGTCAAGCGCCTTAAACAACCATAACAGTGCAATGGAGTGATTTTTCCCCAAAGATAGATTTCAAGATTTCAAGATTTCAAGATTTCAAGATTTCAAATTTATTCATGTTTCCAACAAAACATTACAAAACAATTATAAGCATTTAAAACAAATTTAAGAAATACATGTTGGAAACAGAGGGGTCCACTAAAATATAAACAAATATGCCAACTATACTACTTGGGTTTAAGCTACGCTTTATATTAATCTACTCGAATATAATATCAATTTGATTAATTGACTAAAAAACACTTTATTTGTGAGACATTCTAGAGCAAGCAGCATGCCATGAGCATCCAGAAGAGGCAAATACAGGCACTATACAAGAAGCTGTCATCATAATCATATACATGTAAGGTCAGATCCATCACCAGCAACAACTTGTTTTTAAAGAGGGGGGGGGGTGTTAAAAGGTACATGCCCTATATTTTTGCAAAGTCTTACATGTAACCTCAACACCTGCAAATTCCTGCTACTTATTGTAAAGAATTTGGAGCACAAGCTAAGCATACTAATACCATCATTATTATCAAATAATGAAAATAAAGTCATAGTATCATTTACAAATAGAAACTATTTTGAATTCACTAGAAATTAATCTTATAGTAGAAATATTAAGATAATTGAATGTACAGAGTGTTAAGTGCATGTTAACACATGAAGTTCATTTCTTGGCCTACATTATGATTACTATTTCATAATTTTATAACATTTTATTTTTTTAAAATTTATTTTGTGTATATTACCTGCGAAGCTTGGCTAGATTCACTGGAGGAGTCTGACGAATCTGATGACGGAGGAGGTGAAAGGGGCTCATTCTTAATCGTAAAACTGGTAGCTGTCACGAAAAGAGAGAGAGAGGGAAAGAGACAGACAGTGATGAGAAGAACGATTTATAACTAGTTCAAAACGACTGACAACATTAATGCTTCAGGCAAACTTTGGTTGGCGTAGGCATAAAAGTAGAGTGGGAAAAGGGATATTTTTAGTTTAAATGAAGAACAAACCAATTTGTGGTTCCTCAATGCTACTGTATGAAACAAACTATTACAAGGGAACTGATAAATTAATAATTTACTACAATGTACATATTTACACTGGATGAAAATTATACCCTAACCCTGCTTTGTAAATCCTACTCTGCTAACTCAGGGTTATTAGGTTTCCCAGCCACCAGATCAAAGTCAACAGTAAAGTAGATGTTTGTTTACAATAGAGTAGCATGAACCATTGGCCTCATCATCAATGTAATTCTAGCATGTAGATCACACAATGAAATACAACGCAGGTTACGCAGCACATGTACAATGTACAGTACGTTTTTTTGTAAAAATAAGAAATAAAAGGTACTTTCCCAGTGTCCCTAGTAACATTTTTGTCAAACAAACATTATTTTACTTGGCACTTTTAATACATGTAATAAAAATCAATGCAGGAGTAACACATTGTGCACCTGACCAGGCAGCATAGGAAGGATTAGGTCAACTAAACAACCGTTGCCCTGGCAAACAGACCTTCTTTCCTTCCCCATTCTTCGTTCATATGATACTAAATAACTTGCGATGATAAAGCTTTGGATCACTAAACTTTAACAATTTCAGACATAGGAACAGTAATCTGCACAGTATGACAGTGGTATCTACAATTTGTATTGTTCACCACTTTAAATGGTAATTCATAGAACTTCTCTCTAGGAGCCTTCATTAATACAAAGAGAAAATGTGAGGTTTGGATTGTTGTCTAAACATTAAAGTTTGAACTTATTTTCAAACGTGGGAAAAAAGTCACAGAAAAAACCTGTCTAAAAGTGGAGTTTGAACCACAGTCCTAACATTAATGAGTTTTAACCCCATGTAAATGAGCAAAAAAAATAAACAAGCTCGCGCCCAGATGGCTGACTACCCAAATGTGCATGCCTACCGACCTTGAATAAATATGAATATCTGTGGTGAGTGTGATTCAAATGAACTCAACTGAAATAATGAACAAAAAGGCAAACTCCAGCTGGAAATTCTACGAAAAGCAGATCAAAACAAGCTCTGTCTATTCATCTACAGCGGTACTCGTACTACTGGCATACATTTACATGTGGTACACTTTACATGTTCTCTAATAGCTGTACCATGCATGCAACATAGCACAGTATGCACACAGTGTAATGTATACATGTATGTACCGAAGGCATATTCCATACCGGTAGTGTAATGCATGATGAGATGTACAGTACCTGTAAAACATTGATGTTCAAACATATACATGTACTGTATACACATGTAACACTCACAGAAAAACTGGTTATTTGCAAGAAACCACGGATTGAACCACTGTCTAAACCTCACTAATAATAACCCTTTCTTTTGTTCAGACAAATAGATAACTAAGTCTTGGACAACAGTGTATAATAATAATAATAGCTCAATTTATAATGCACCTAATAGGCTACTTTGTTTCTAGGTGCAGCACATATTATTACCCCGGTCATCGGATTCAGGCTTACCCCAATACAATGTATGTACATTTTCCACTCCCGGGGAGCATTCCAGCCAGTCGCCAGTTTACAAGCGCCACTTGCTCATCCAACCACATTAACTGTCGCATCCTACCAGGTACCTATTTAACACCTAGGTGGAGAGTGGCAAATGTAGATCAATGTCTTGCCAAAGGACATTAGTGCCGCAGCGGGACTTGAACCGCAGACCTTGTGATCCAGTCCGGTGACATACATGTATCTACTCGACCACACCACCTCTGTATGCGTGAATGGGTCTGATGGTTTATTTTTCCCCCAATCCATTGTCCTGTGGACCATCAAATTATAAATTATGGGATCTAATCTCATTTCAAGGTAGCAATTTACTGAATGAGGAATAAGGAACAACATGAAATATACTGTGTCTTTGTTTTTATGTTTCATACTTTTTTTTTACATTGTACTTGAGCTTAATTACTTTTGACATTACTAATTTAAAACCGTTGAATATTACATCTACATGTATTCATGCATGACCTTTCATGACCAATATTATAGCATATAGGGTATTATATGAAAGACACTGAATTGATATTTGACAAAATTAACACAAATTATATTAATTACAATGTAATGTTTCTAGTAATTGATGAGAAATGTTTAAGAAACAAACTTTATTACACAGGAGCAGTGGTTGTTGTACAATGTAGAACTTTATAGACTAGTGTATAAAATGCAAGTTTTGGTACAAAAAAGAGGGAAAACTACAGTTACATGTATCACCTAAAGTAAAACTTCATATTTTGAAGAAAATAATCTGAGTTCACCCCTCTGTAGCTCCTAAAAACAAAAAGGAATTTTTTTCATTAATTGAAAGGAAAATTTCTAAATACGATCAAGTGGTTTTGACTACAGTACAGTGTTGTACAGGTGTAAGAAGGTGTTTTTAAAGAGTGCCATCTTCAACACAAATCACTTAGTAGAATATTTGCTCACCATAGCAACCAATACAATGGCTGATCATATATTTTGTATATAGGGTGGGATGGGCGGTCTTGTTATAAATGTTAGTGGCAATTTACTTTTGTGAATTTTTTTCATCCTGAACGCATACAGTTTATCACTTTTACACAGTTACTCCAAAATGGAAATGAACAAATGCCCATGTGTACATACATGTATGTATTGCAGGTGACAAGTGTACATGTTGCAAGTATACATGTACATGTAGTTACAGCTACTACCAGTAAACATTAATCGACTACCGCTGGCCACATGCATGTACATGTACATTGTAGCTCCATTGTCTACACTCACACACTTGATGTTTGGTCTGATTTCGCACAGATGTTGTCATATATTTACATCATACGATTGTTGCGAAGGATGAAGTGGAAGTTTATTTATATGCCCACACAACGACTGCCAGTGCCAGCCGTATTTCGCTCACAGCTAGGCGATCATCCGTACAGCGGTAGCATATAAAGCTAGATCTAACAGTCATTTACACACAATAAAACTATTCAACCCCAAGCATTTATTAAAGGGATCCGGTAACTTTGTCTTAGATCCTTTAAAAAAATCCTCGATTTAGCTCATGCTGCAATGATAATTATAAACCTTTAGGTCAGTCAGGAACCCATGGCTTTTACAAGCCAATCGCCTGTCTGATTATCAAGATATGTATGATTGAAAATCGAAATAGAATTTTGTGTTTGCCAAACGGTTTTCACAACACTACAGTCTATTGGGGAAAACGAGTATGGTTAAACGGGTCACTCAAAGGTTTTTACTTTTTTGAGGCACTCTTTGATATTTTGAAGTGCAATTTGTAGGGCTTCAATATTAACACCATATCACAGACACTGATAACATACAGTGCATCTCAAATTTAACAATGTTAAACAATCCCTTTAAAACTTCAATTAAAACATTAAATTACCGACAGGATATTATTTTTTGCACATTTCATTATGGGCTATGCCTATTGAAAACATAGCAATACATAGTCATTGTCATGCATGACCTTCGCAATCGATCACTTGCTTGTTTGTCTCGCACAGGCCTGGTGAGTGGCAAAGAGTCTAACTGTCAATCAAATTTTCAGGCTTGTTCATTTCTATTTCTTTTAAAGCCTGCCTGTACTACTTTGGCCAGGAGGGATTAGACCTCCCTGTAAGGTCAATGACAGGTGGTTATCTCATCAAATCAGCTCTCAATTAACATAAGAAAAAAGGGAATCGTGGGGGACCAACAGGCAACACAAAGAAAACTACTGATTTATTCAACCCTGGAGAAAATAATTGTTGTTGATGACCAAACTTACTGTCTGCGTGATGTTCCTCATCGGTCATGCCAAGCCAGGTTTTAGTCAGGTCAACACTGAGGTCACCACTAAGGTCACCTGAGGTAATACTGGATAAAAGGTCACTAGATCTTGACAGAGCATCCTGGGGGAAATAAATCACATTGAAAATATAAATTAATAATTTGTCTGTCTATTCAACGATTAAAAACCTGCTTTTACATATATAGCAAAATTATCCATTGCATGTACCTGTAAAGAAAGGCCATCTCTCCATAAAAAGGACTTAAACAAAAAACCTTGAGCAGTGCTTCATTCTGAATCATATGTATCACATGTACATGTAAACTCCTCAAAAGAGGTTATGCCATTGGGGTTTGAGCATTGTATTTCTCTTGTTCATCTGAGAGATGGCTGCATCCATGTCATGCTAAAAGGCTTTACATCATGCTTAGAATACATGTATCTCCAGTTATAGATCTATTGTAAATATTCGTTAGGAACATTGTACATCGATGGGCAGGCAGATATCATACTCTTTCAGCATACTGTACATTGTACCTACAGTACATGTAAACATATTCTTTGGAGTGAGGTTTCTGTTCAAAATAAATGAGTCCCTGAAAGAAAATTGCAAAAATGGGGCATCTGGTCATTCAAATGTGGACGATTGTTGGAGGTATCCTATGGCTTGTCCACGGTATTACATGTACATGCAAGCCTTTTATTAAGTCAAAGCAGACCGGGAGCCAAATATCTGAAAAAGCGGCTCCCGGTCCTTAATTTTTTTAGAGAACCGGGAGCCGTTTTCCAGGACCAGGAGCCGTTTCCAAAATTGATGAAAATATGTATTCTTTTAAATTATTTGTTAAACGTTACCTTTTATTTATACATACGGTAGTTTAATTTCTACAGTTTACATTTTGAGCACTCTTATATTAAATCACTCATACCTTGGATAAATCTGTAGTTGTTGTAGTTCATGTTTAATACTATTTTCATGCCGTTAAATGTCAAAAATTGAAAAATGTTAGGAAAGGGGGAATTAAATTATTTTTATAAAAAAAATACTTAAGAAAAACCATCTATAATGACAATGCAGAGCTGCCAACCTGTCACTTTCAAAAAACATATTACCGGTATTCAGCTTGAAAAAGCATATTTTAGGTGAAAAAAAAGATTTTGCCTGTTTAACGGGTTTGTTATTTAGACCTGTCACTTAAAAAAATATTTTAAAAAAATAAAATAAAAATAATAATAATTAAAAAAAAAAAAAATTGTTAAATATATTTACCTATTTGATCAAAAAAAATCCATTATTTAAAACATCACAAAATTTTAGTCAATGAGTACGAGGGCCGCTGAATCAAGGCAAGTCTGGAGTTGCAATCAACTTTGTACATAAAGTCAATGCATCAGCAGGTCCGGTGTTCTGTTTTTCATTTGGCTTTTTGAAGATACCATTACATCCGAAGGGCATGTGATAGGCAAAAAAACTGGCAACAAAATCGCTGATTTCTTGATTTTTAGCGCTATTTTGATGAAACTGTTTCTTAAACCTGGGCTAAACCCCCGTGAGCTTTGGAAATATGACTCCGATTCCGCATTTTTGACGGCAAAATTTGGCTTTTGGGATGGATTTTTGGAAGTTACATCGAGACTTTCTTGTACTGACACTGTGTGTGTAGTGCAGTACAGCACTGATGTCATTTGTGTGTGTATGCATGGCTTGGGGAAATGCGCTCGTCTTAGCTTTGAGTGGTGTACATCCCCTGTATTGTGTGCTCCGTACTCCGCTAGGAGTAGGAGATAGCGGCCGCTCGTATTTATTAGTGCTGCAATTGTTTCTGGGCGATTTTAATTAGGATTCTCATTATGTAATGATTTGTTAGGGTTCATTCAGTCCATGTTTAACTCGTATCAAGTAAGTTTTTGTCACATTTGTGAACATTTAGTGCTAGACATGTGGAAGTTTATGAAACAGAAAATGTTAATTCTCCCAGACCGGGCGCCAGAAATAATAATGAACCGGCGCCCGGTACTCATTTTCCCCGTCTTACCGGGCGCCAAAAGTCAGGGACCGTAGGGTAAAAATCGCCCGGCGCCCGGTTAATAAAAGGCTTGTGTACATGTAGGTGGTATGGAGAGGCATATTGACCATACCATGCAGTCCTGAGACTAGTTGGCATTCAGAGATCAATCCTCATCATTGTTTCTCATTCTTTGTTTCAATTATTGAACAAGAATGTCTTTCAAATGCAAACGTTCATTAACATTTGAAAGGCTACTTGCTCTATTTTTGCAAGTTTCTTAATCCTGCCTTGATCTTCATTATTGTATTGATTGTTTATATGAAAGATTTGAAGAATAAAGAGTGTGCACCTCCTTTTTTTTGCAGAGTGTACCTGTACATGTATCTTACTAATAAATTTATTTATTTTTTCTTCAAAACTAAAATGCATGATAATAGGTTATTAAGCTCAAATGAATAAAACAGTAAAAAGAGAAAGAGAAAACCTCAATGATAAAACACATTTCAGTTACGCGTTTTATACGCGAATATGCCTATCAACTGTAGAGGCCAGTCTGAATTCTTTTCCCGATATCGTCCGTTTTCACGAAGTGACGGTAGTGAGGAAAATCGTCACGCAAAGCGAATGCAATTTTTTTTCACTACCGTCACTTCTTGAAAACAGCGCCATTTTTTATTCTTATTTTCTTGTTGTATTGTTATGCGTAGTAAAGCATATTGTGAAATATAAATTTACCACTACCGTATTAGTATCATTATTGTTACTTTCTTTATATCTATTCAGTGTTATATAGCTTACCTCTTCATCCAGTCCAGAATTAAAGGCCATTTCTTCAGCAACATTTAAATCTTCTGATAAATCTCGTACATGATTTCCATTGTAGAACCCAGGATCCCCTGCAGAAATAAAAACAATATGAAACTCTGGTTATCCACAAGGTAATCCTAGATACATGTCCACAAGAGACGCACATCTGGCCTTACTGTCCAGATGTCCATTACTCATCTCAAGGGATATGGAGACCAGGCATTTTCCTCCATTGCTCCTCGCCTGTGGAATGCCCTCCCATCATCTATTCGCGCAATTGACAACCTGGACCACTTCAAAGCTTCACTCAAAACTCACATCTTCCTACATACATTTAAATGCTAACTTTATTGGAGGAGCTCGCACCTTTGAATGTTTTTTTTAACAGATATATGGCGCCATACAAATGCTGTGAATCATCATCATCATCATTACCATTAGAGACTGAAGCTGTAGGTCCAATTATTACCTAGCCCTGCTGGACACACCCCCTGTCTAACGTTACCAAGCAACCATGACATTAGACTGTTTGAACTTGACAGTTAAAAGCAGCACTGACGGATTTAGCGTTGAAAAAACACCTCCAATGTTAGTTCTTTTGGAGCCATATATCTATCTCATCTCAAAGTTTAAGCCTGAAGTCTTGAACTTTAATGGCTCTTTTTCAATTTCAGTTTTTTCATTTAGCCTTTAATAAAGTTTAACTTTAACTTTTAAGATTATGGAAATCTGTGAAATTGCAGTATTTCAACATTCTTGCCCAAGTTTTATTTAAATCCATTTTAGTAGTTACGTGACTGGAATTGGGTGCGAAATTGTGAAAATATTGACAAAAAATCAGCAAATTTTGCACTCATTTGCTTCAGTCTGAAGGGTCTGAAAATCTTCATTATGAGATACTAGCATATTCCCTTAAAATTGTAAGTAAAAAGTGGTACCAACTGATTGTATGATATCTTGCCTTGCAAATTATGATATTATTACCTTACTTTTGATGGATCACATGACTTGATAAATCAGCTGTAAACCCCTGTTCGTGAAGTAAGGTCTCGTTGTTTTTATGACTCTTTTTTAGTTGCAGCTCGCATGCTTATCCGAAATCAAATTTTTAGATCGCAATATTTCCGGAATCCTTTGATGAAAATTTTTTTAGTCGAACCAAAAAAATTGTTCAGTAGGGGCACTGGTCCGAGAATGAGGATTGTCTTCATAAACTCGGACAGACACGTCTGTAAAAATAAGGATTGTGCACATTTTTCTGACCCGTGAGTTGGCAATGCGAAAAACAGATTCCGCAATGATTTTCTTGATGCTTTTCACATTGACTTTGTACAGAGACTTTTACATAATGAGCGATTAATCCTCTGGAAGGCGGACAACCAAAAAAAGTAGACGGTGACTGGGGTAATTGTATTACGCAGAATCCGTTTTTCGCATCGCCAGACGTCTGCATTTATGTGTGAAGTTATCTACCATAATGAGGATCTGAGACATTACAGTAGGGTAGAGTGCCCAGTATTCGGTCACTTAAGGGGAAATCACTAATATTTTGAATTCTTACCTCTTTTATTTGGCAATCTACCCATCAAAAGAAAAGAAATTTATTCCTCTGACAGGATTTTATCGTCACTTAAAATATAGAATAACGATAAGCAAAATACTTCCGAAAGAAGACGGAGCATTTTTCTGCCCAGAATTCGGTCGCGCCGATTAGAATTCGGTCACGCGATTTGTGCGTGGTATCTCCGTTGCCAAAGAGCGAAGCGTATTTGCGCACTATTATCACACAATTGCGCGATAAAGCACTGAATGTCAATGCGTTGACCGAATACTGGCCGAGCGATACCGCATGGCAAGGGTATCGTATAAATACCTCTCGCACATCGGCAAATGCGTCATTTGCAAATTCACTGCGATGGAGTGAACACGGAAGTGATTCTCTTCACACACATACTAAATTCATTGCGACAGCACACGCAGTTGTTTCGCAATAGACTTCTACATATGGCTATGCATGTTAGCGCATGTGCTAAGAGAACGCAGAAGTGCAGAAAGTCTTGCGACACTGACCAATTTTGAGCTAAGTTGGTGATCTTTCCGGGGCCCTAAATGATAAATCTGATTTAATTTTGAGAGTTAAGAAAAGTTGTTCAGCTGCTTGATTTGTGCAAGTTTCGTGGCTCGCAAATTATTTTTAAAATTGTTACAGCTGTTGAAACGGCTGTCTGACCGAATACTGGGAATTGACCAAATACTGGGCGCGCTACCCTAGATAACTTCACACAGGCGCGCGCCAGCCCGCAACCCACCATCGGTATGTACTTGTATTGTTCAACGGTTGGCCGTGAAACCTGTTAAAAAGTGTATAGATCTAGGGTCTACTAACTAATATCAACGTTTATCTTAGACCGAAAGCTTCAGTCTCTATAATCGTCGGTTGTTCCACTGAGACTACGTCTGGCTCCACTAGACCTCCGGTTATAGAGACAGAACGACTGCCTATGCCAGCCTGTGTTGAACTTATTCCGCTAGATTTTAGCCGCTAGGCCCCTCCCACAAACTTGCCACGGCCGTATTGTTATGCCCCCAAAATCCCCCAAAATGTCATTTTACCTCGTTCATTTCCAATTTTAAATGAGGCCTAGGCTATAATACATCGGTTCCACTTACTAACTTGATTGATATAATCCGTTTAATGGTCCCTTTTAAGGAAATTATCGGTCAAAATCGACATCCATGTTGAAAATCTTGCAAGCCGTGTTAAACTCTCGCTGCCGTCAATCTCATCCCTTCTAGTCTACGCCGAAGGCAAAATGATTATGAAGGAAAAACTGTGATAACGCCATTACGAACGTGTAGATGGCGCACAGTTTTTCCTTCATAATCATTTTGCCTTCGGCGTAGACTAGAAGGGATGAGATTGACGGCAGCGAGAGTTTAACACGGCTTGCAAGATTTTCAACATGGATGTCGATTTTGACCGATAATTTCCTTAAAAGGGACCATTAAACGGATTATATCAATCAAGTTAGTAAGTGGAACCGATGTATTATAGCCTAGGCCTAATTTAAAATTGGAAATGAACGAGGTAAAATGACATTTTGGGGGATTTTGGGGGCATAACAATACGGCCGTGGCAAGTTTGTGGGAGGGGCCTAGCGGCTAAAATCTAGCGGAATAAGTTCAACACAGGCTGGCATAGGCAGTCGTTCAGTCTCTATAACCGGAGGTCTAGTGGAGCCAGACGTAGTCTCAGTGGAACAACCGACGATTATAAAGACTGAAGCTTTCGGTCTACGTTTATCTGAAAAATAGATCTAGGGTCGTCTAGGTCTAGGCTCTACTCCAAAAATAACAAGAAAATTGACACGAAACAGGTAATAAACAGAACAACTTTTTGAACTCATGATCTTTATTTGGACATTTAATGTATATTTACTTCATTCTGGGTATGTTTTAGTAGGGTATCTCCACGCCGGAGTTACGGGTCAAATTTTGGATAGGTTTCTGAACAAGCGCCCAAACTTCCAAAGTGTGCAACGAGGCTCGACCATCGACCACAGAGCAGGGAGGTGACAGAGCTCAGAGCAACGCCGTAAGCTCGGGGCATGTAGCACAACACTTATCGACGTGTGTGTGCTTTTATTTTAGCTCAAGCCTCAACTCCATAAGGAAATAATCTTTTAAATTCTCTTTTAAATTAACATTTACAAATAGTTTGGTATCAAAATCATACTCCACACTCACCCCAATCCTCGGACGACAGAAGATTATCTTCCAGAAATTTATCATCTGTGTTAGACATAAACTGCAAAGCCATGTTTCAATTTTTTAGATTAACGTGGAATTTCAGCCATTACATATTGATGCTGAACATGTACGCTGCTCATGTAGGACCGCTAGATTTAGTAAACGGGGGTGTGTATTTAAATATGCAAGTGATGTGAATGTTTTTAAATATCGAAATAAAGAGTTTGTAATAAACGAGCTATTAATGTATATCTTGGATTAAAAATAAACTGATTTTAATATAATTGTATTGTAAAATATTTTATAATCATTCATTTTGTAAATTTTGTAAAACGCTCGTACCCCCATTTTTATCAAATAGTCGTTCCCACAGAAACGCTTCAAATCATGTACTGTACATGTGTAAACGAAAAATGTTCATCATCTCTGCTTGAAAGATAAATAACACAAAGATACATAGACCTTATACCACAATTTTTTTTTAAAGGTTTATGAATAATATTTGCCGAAATAATTTTGTTATATTGAGGGTCAATGCTTAATCTTTATATCCCTTTATATTAAATGGCTAAAGATAGGTGGCTTTGATGGGGGGAGGGGGTAGGGGGAGGGGGTAGGGGGAGGGGCAGGGGGGGGGGCAGTGAATTGACCCACAAATAGGTATTTCTAATTAGATACCAGTGATTTACAAATACTGCTGAATTGACATGAGTTTCCGGTTTTTCTCACTTTTGCCCAAATATGCCAGAGGCGGCTCTCCCAGTGGGGGTGGGGGCGCACTGTCTTCCCACTTCTTCAGGCCCCCAAATTCACAATTAAGTATTAAGTGCCCCTTTTCTTTTCTAATAACTATCCTTTACCTCTCTTTTCATCTCTGGTCCTTTGCCCTTTTTTCACTTTGACTCGTGCCCCTTTTCTTTCTTAGTGTACTCTTTGCTTCGTAATAAGAACCCCTTACTCTCAAATGACACTTTTCACCTCTAATAAGTGCTCCCTTTATTTTTGACACGTGCTCCTTTACCTTTCTATAAGATTCATATTTTCTTCCGATAAGGGTTATATGAGTCCCTCCCCTTTTTCAAAGTGCCCCTTTTAACATCTGATAAATGCCCCTATTAAAATCTGATAGGTGCCCTTTTCCTTCAACAGATTTCCCATTTCTTTCTCACAAGGGCCTTTTTTCATCTCTGTTGATCGAGTGTCCCTTTCAGGTGCAGAAGTGCCATTTTCACCTCTCATAGTTACCCTTTTTACTTTGACACGAGCACTTTTTCTTTTCTAATAACTGTCCTTTTCCCTTTTGATAAGTGCCTACTTTACCTTTCTCCATAAAGTGCACCCCTAATTTAGGGCAACCAAGAGCCCCTTTTTCTTTAAGTTTCCCTAGAGGTCGCTCGCTACGCTCTTTATAGATGTTATAATTATGTTACTTATACAAAAACTGTTCAGTCTGTCTTTATTGATTGTGTTTATTACTCATCAGGGTGTGTTTTTTGTCTTCTTTATTAGATGTAATTTTTCACACTAGGACCTCACAAATTTTAAATATTTTGCTTGCTCGCTTCGCTTGCTCGAAAATCAATATTCTGACCATCTCAACCAACTGCAAAGTATGTTGCTTGATTAAGCAGTATCTTGTTTCACGTAAAGAAATAAACAAAATATTGATGTCATCCCTGGTAGTGTTATCACAATCATGACGATGTAGGGGCATATACCAATGTCTAAAAATGGTGTATGTTTTTGGTGCCCCTTTTTTCTCCAGAAAGTGCCCTTTTTGTTAGTGCCCCCCCCCCCCCACCTACTTTGGAAGACGCTCCACGCCCCTGCATTATGCTACTTGGTGGTGATGCGGATTTTGTTCTGACCCCCAAAAGTATTTACTTATTACACCACTATTTATATTCCTAAAAAATGTTGCATTGATCCTTGAAATATTTTTTCTTTTTGTTAATTTGTTTATTATGAATTAGTTTAGATCGTCCAGTGCGTTTAATGTGCAATTTATACCCGACCATTCATGAACACTTTTTAAACCAGATTGAAAAAATGTATCTCCTAGTGAGTACTATTGAGTATTTCTATGTAAAATTGTGGTTGATTAACTAGTTAATTTTAATCTTTTGTCTCTGTATAAAGTGACCCTCATTTTTTGCGTTTATGACATAGATTCGTACGTATCTATCATGATGGTACAGAAAACTTCCCTTGGTCGCGGCATGGGATAATCACCGGGGGTAATCATAATGTTATGATGGTGCTATTGTATTTCTCTCAAATATTCAGAAGTGGTTTATATAAGTGTTTGCAATGTGATTTACTAAGCCTCTAAAAATTGGATAGTTTATCCAAAATTACAGGCTTAAAACATCAAGTGCGACCGTCTTTTAATTGTATGATTTTGTCACACAAGAGGCCACAGTCTGAAGATCTCAAAACAAAGGTCTAATTAATTTAATTATTTAAGAAAGCCTCCTAACTTCTGATATCTAAGTTCTCTCTGCTCACTTGTCCACTGCACCATTCCGCAAGCGTACGTAAAATAAGGTGCAGGGGCGGCGATTTCTTGTCATGACCGGGGGGGGGGGGAGGGATGAAATGCGAGGGACGAGAGAACACTGACGTAATGAGCAATAACATTTTGGGTTTTTTTTTTGGGGGGGGAGGGGTAGGGGGGAGGGGGTGGAAGCTCAGGGGTTTAATGCATTTAATTACGGTCAGATGAGCATGTTTTGATAGATTATTTGTGACACTGAGGTACAGGTCACTTATTGGAGTGGGGTCCAGGGGGCGGAGCCCCCAGAAGCTCAGGGGGTTTAGGCATTAAATTACGATTTACGACTTAGGGCCCTTGGTGGGGTCCAGGGGGCAGAGCTCCCGGAAGCTCAGGGAAAAATCATGCCAATTCAGCAATATTTGTTAATCACTAGTATCGATTTAGAAATAAGCCACGTTTGAGTTTTATGGGGTAGGGGCAACTGCCCCCCCCCCCATCAGTACGCCTTGATGCGAGGGGGGCATAGTGAACAAGAGGGGTGAAGATGACGGAAGTGACTACCCCCTCACAGGTTTTTGAAGTTTTGTTGTATTCAAATATTACATTTTTTTAAAGCAAAACTATAGTATAAAAACAAGTAATACACTTTTTTCACACTTCACTTGCCTACACAATATTTATTTGTACATTTGAAAGAATATTATGCGAAAGAGCGTTGCTACCGAGCGAGAAGAGTTTTGCATTTTTATTTGTCTAAACGCTGCACTCGTAGGCCCTCCAGAGTCAAAAGTGTGTTGCAGTCTTATGTATGTATTTGCTATACATTTTTTTGTGTGCACTTTTTCAAATTTTCCGGGGGGACGTCCCCCCCCCCCCGTCCCCCCGGGATCGCCGCCCCTGATAAAGTGTTATTATCTTCAATAGCGATCGAAAACCCCAAATGAAAGAAAGAACGTTTATGATGATGAATATCAAATCGATTGATAGCAGACTTTCATAAAAAGACAACATCTTAGATAAACTTTATCCATTTTGTATCACTCAATGAGAAGGTGATGCGAATGAAGTCAAGAATGTAATAATAATAATAATAATAATAGTGGGTTCTTGTATAGCGCTCATGTCAGTCAGATTTGACCCTCCATCATAACTAAGCAACTAAAGCATTTTTTTAAAGTTTGAGTTTGATGTTAACTCTTTTTTTTAAAACTGCTTAGTGCCAGTCAATGTAAATAAAAGAGTAATTGTTTTGGAATGAAAACATTATGTCTTTTGATCTACATTCATTGCTTCAGCCCAAACTTGTTACTAGAGGATTTCTAAAAATCCAGCTGTTCATGCAATCATCCTTGGCAGCACAATTTTGAAAAAGGTATCATTAGACAGGGTATTAGTTCTTCTTTAAAATGAAATATGTTTCAAGGTCACACAGGTTATAACTTATTAATTTGAAGCTACCAAAGTTGGGTACACCTTTTTTGATACGCAATTTATGGTCTAAGATACTGCTTAAACAACATACTTTGCAATATAGGTGTGATGGTCTGAAAATTCAATATTTGCGAACGAAGCGATAAAAAAAAAGCATTTGAGGTCGCAATTTTAAAGAGCAGGGGGGGGGGGTCCTAATCTGATTTTAACCACAACCTCATCATGAAAGAATAAAGGGCGCTTATCAGGAGGGAAAAGGAAACTCTGCAAAAGGGACACCTTGTCATTGGTGCCCTTATGATCTCTGGTCAGTGCCCCATTTCAAGTACAAGAAGCGCCCCTTTTCACCTCTGATCAATGCCCCTATATATTATGATAAGAGCCCCTTTTATTTTGACACGTGCCCCCTTTTCCTTGTAATAATTACCTCTTCTCCCTCTGATAAGTGCTCCCTTACATCTCTGATGAGTGCCCATTTTCCTTTGTTTTTTTATAAAGAGCCCCTTCCCCTTCCCCTTCCCTTCCCCTATAACAGGCAAAGAACCTGAGGAAATTCTAAAACCACTAAAATATTTATGGTGTCACTGTGCACTTGAATGTCTGGAATTATATATAGAGCCAATTCATTGCTTTGTGACGATTTACATTCACCTAACATGTAATTAAATTGAAATAATATAGTTGGGAGAATTAAGGAATCGATCAAATCAGTTTTTCCCAAATTGTATCGCTAATAATGGTCCGTTTTCACTCAAAAGGCTTTCAGATTATATTCAATTGTACATCTAGCATTGAAATCACTACTTTAGCACCATTTTCTATCTTCTGAACAATGTTACCAAGTCCATTTAAAGCAACTGAGCAACTTTGCTTTAATTCCCTCAAAAACTCGCTCACATTTATAGTTGATATACTTATGTTCAAAAGTCTTTCGCGATTGGATTGTGCTTGAAACCCCATGGAGATTATCTTTTCCTCTTTATAAGAGCATGGTATGTTTCGCACTGCGACCTCCTAAACTTTACAATTCTTGCTCACTCTCTTCGCTCTCTCTAAAATGAATATTCAGACTCAACTGCAAAGTATGATGCTTAAAGGGAACCAAAACCTTCATACTAAGTTACTTTTATTGTAAAGTTTAAAAGATTTGAATGAAATCAGTGAAAATTTGAACAAAATCGGGCAAGGAATAAGGAAGTTAGAGCTTTTTGAAATGAATAGTCACTAGAGGGCG